CACCTATCATTTCAGTGACAGTGCCCAAAAGCCTCTCATAATATCAACATAACACAACTGATACAAGTCTCCAAGTGGTCTGACATCTACAACTTCATTATCTGAACAAACGGTGTTATAACTTACTTTAAGACTTTTTCCGAGAGTGAACCTATTTTTTGAAGGGCTCAATTCTAAAGCCCACAATTAAAATTCAAAGAACTGTTCTTTACATTGTTAACAAAGTTATATGGCTTTTAAAGACAAACCATCAATGAAAATCTCAGAATCCTACATGGGAGATGCAGACATTGCACACTGGTGATTCTGAATGTCTTAAATCTGATCAGCTGATTTGAACACAGCACACAGAGCTTTATTTGCTCATAAAAAATGGCTAAAACTTCAAACTTTTAATTTCATCAAAAAAGAAAATGAGGACAGCAAATTTTCACTTTGTTCATGTCAAAAGATTTATGCATTTATATACATCTAACAATAAACACAGTATTATTATGAAGACAGTCATCATTTGAGATCAGAGGCACAGTAAGGTACGTGTGTCTCAGCCACCTTCCCTCACCATCCTTTTCACACGCTACTGTAACACATACACTTTATGAAGCATGTACAGAAATAAACTAGAACAAATTTACAACAATTTCCAATCGTTCAAATTCTTAATATTTCTAATTCTGTATTTCAGCATCCTGTTGCACATCTCTAACTCAACATCTATGTATTTAGTCCATCAATAATGCAACAATAATTAAAATATTCACCATTTAACACCAACACATGTTTCGGCCACAGACGGCCATCCCCAGGTGTTTTGATGCGTCCAAACTGTTACTCTGCTTTGACGCACGCTAAAATTGCGCACTGCAGTCCACTTAAAATTATATAAATGATTACTTAAAATTCATTAAAATTTTTCTATTAAAAACTTTTGTAAAATCCTATTCCACTTCGTAGCACTAGTGAAGACAACACCACATGATGCTTGAAGAAACAACACACAAGCAAGGGGAATATTGCAGATTACAGATGTAGCTGCTGAAACAAACTCTCTGGAATACATGCATCACATAACTTTAAACAAGAGGTCAGGTTTTAATAGAAAAATTTTAATGAATTTTAGGTAATTATTTACGTAATTTTAAGCGGACTGCAATGCGCAATTGTAGCATGCATCAAAGCAGTGTAACAGTTTAGACGCATTGAAACACCTGAGGATGGCCGTCTGTGGCCGAAACATGTTGTGACAGTGTTAAATGGTGAATATTTTATTGATTGTTGCATTATTGACAGACTAAATACATAGACATTGTCTTAATACTTCTGTTTGAAGGTAACTGAAGGCCTGGGAATTGTCTACAATATTTAGCACCATCTAAAATAAGAGGAAGGTCAACATTTGATGCAGTTTCACCAACTGCAATATTGACTTTTGTTTCAATTATGAACTATGAGAAATGTGTAATAAAGTGTTCAAACATGGGACTCATAACATCTGGGTTGTAAAGTTCTTCATTTATTTATAAGTAAACAAACTCACATTGCAGATTTACACATATATAAAGATTGAAATAAATTAATGTAACTTAAAAAAATATGTAAAAATAAAAGGAATCCAAAAATATATAATAAAACATAAAGTAAATATGGAATGTGATTGCTGTAACATACTCCACCCCATTACCCACGCAGAAACCAAACACAAATGCACACAAAAAGAGAAATAAGGAAGGTCTACATGGTCAAAAAGAACATACAAATGCAGGAATTATGTTGTAGCTGGAAAAATGGTAATGGTTTGCAACATAGCTACAAAACTTCTGATATTCAGTGATGAACTTCAACTACACAATCATACAAAAAAACATACCAAAACTACCTCTCCAATTTGGAATATAAATGTAAATGAAATGTATATAAGATTAGAAAATAAGACACTTCAAATATGAAAATTAATACCTTAATTATATCACAAACAATCATATCAGCCTTCTAGTTTTGGTGGAATAAAAATGTAAGACAGAAATTTAAGGTTTGCTTTCTCATTTGAAGCAGATATGGTTATACAAAACAGCCTACAAACATAATTTAAATTCACCAACTGATGCACCCCCAACACACATCACCATCAAGAATGCTGATCATCACAAAATATGGAACCAACCCAATTGCATTTTCAATAATATTTTTGCATGTTACTTGATTTAACTTGGAGAAAGTTTCTCCCACCAAGAAATAAAATTAAAAACAGTAGATAACTGAATTACAGCAAGGAATATGGACGATAACAAAACAATAATAAAAGTACCATATTCAGACAACAGTTAACTTCACCTGAAGATTGTCACATCCAGATGTGAATGATACCAGAAGAGTAAGAAACTCCAAGCATGAAGAGTTAAGCAAGGACAGGACAGCTTTCACCATCTCCTCTCTTAGGTTCTCATTTACAACACTCTATCAGCTAAACATATTTGCTTAATGATCAATCAGATTCACCATCTGCCCCTTACAAACCCATTTGGATATAATCATCATATTTTCACAGTGAAACCAAATAAACAGGAGACCAATTTGGAACATGGAATAGAACAAAAGTACACCTACTGCAGGCCAAATTTCTGATGTAACTACAGCATTTATATCTTTAATTCATCCTTGTTACCAAAGGGATTCTTGCTTATCACATGAAGCAAACATCAAACTAAGAGATCACGACTGACAATAACATAAAAACAAATTTCCCCCAACATACAAGATGAAGAAGAATGTCTCATAATTCCAGTAAGCATTAGCTGATGTAAACTGAAATGTGTGCCAGAAAAAGAAATGAAGTGAAGCATGAGACAGGAACACCCAGAGAAGCAAAACACAAAGCAGCACTTCCTCTTACACAACAGCATCTTCAGATGGCAAGATTCATTACTTGTGAATCCACCACACTCATTTTAAAAAATTCTTACTCCATCGCTCTGTCCAGTTCTTGACACAGTTACAAATATCAGATCATGGACATGTGATTAAAACTCACAACATATCACAAAGAAGTAACTGAAAGGTTTACATCGCTGATACCGCAAAAATCTTGCTCCTTGTGACAACAGCCTTTAGTATCTACTTTCTCACTGCACTTTGGGATTCAGAATTTTTCCAACTTCTAACTACCCAACCAGCAGATAGCCAACACAAGAAGGTGGGAATGCCTTTAAAGATTAGAGAGAAAGAGACCTTCCCATACAAATGTTATCGAATTTGTTCAACAAAGGAGAGAATTCTCATAATAAATTACACGTTCTCTAATGAGAAATTATAAATTTTTTATACCTAGTATTAACCTTTACTGCAAGATATTCTTGCACAGCCTGGAACCTCTCGAACTTAACTAAATTTGATATTACTTTCATCACCTTTACTATTCAAAAGTTTTACAAAATTATGTTTTACAAAATTATATCTTACAAGTGGCACATATTGAAATAACTGCGTTTAATGTGATGAACAACTTTATAAATACATGGATGAATACATTAAATGTATTTATATGTGATGATGAACTTATATGGTCTGAAATATTTTTTAGATGATGCATTAAAATTAGTAAATTTAGTATTTAGTATTAGCATGGTCAAAACAATCTACACATTTCACATTACCTAAAAAGAACATATTCAGAGCACCTTTTAAATTACAAGTTCTCAAAGAGCTGCTTCTTGTGTCATTCAGTTCCGAGGGAATTTCCAATGGCAAGCGCTGGTGACATAAGTATACCCCCAACTGCTGGTACATTACTTTTAAAGTGACTTATTGAAAGGAATAGATTGAGCCTTGGTTGACTCTAGTTACAATCAGAATAGTGAAAAACACACAAAAATTTTCTATCTTCAGTAACAAAAAGGAACGTCGAAACAGCTCAGATATGTCAGATCTGACGCAATTCTTGTAAGATGTCAAAAACACGTTTCAAACCACAGTTCTGTAACAGTGTTCCAATGAATTTTACGTACCATATTTTTAAACACTAGCCAAAGGTGAACCACCATTCAAGCTGTAACAGAGCTATTACAAACAGCTTCGTCACCTAATGAAGCTACCTAACCACTCTCCTGATAACTGTGTGAGCCTGCGCTTGTCTTTAGGTTTTCACAACCTGCATCTATCTAAGGTGTAACTTAAGCTTCCAGGGTTTGTCCATTTTGCATGCTGAAGCTGTTCCAGAGTTTCAGCACACACTGCACTCACCATTTTCACAGTGCATAAGGCCTCACTAAGCCTGAAAATGGTTACTGCAATGCATGCTGAAACAGTGGAACAGCTTCACAATTTATATTTTTAATGGCTAAACTCTGAAAGCTGAAGGTACACTTGCAAAAAGAACATTTTAGGAAGAAGTTTGGTTTGGGAGGCAGATTATAATGAACTTTTGTATTCTCTGTTCCTGCCATTAAAATTTACAATGACATAACTTTCATATAAGTTGCATAAAGCGAGCATGTATTAATACTTTAAACAACAATTAATTCATATAAGACAGAAGTGGAATGTAATACTGCATTAAAATATAATAATTATTGCTTTATGAGTCATGTGAGTGAGTTTATTATTACACATATTATAAGTGCAGCAAAATCTGGGGTTTAGAGTTGCACATTAACTTTATAAATAATGTTTCAAATCTGAACTAGACTAAGGGCTTGGAGATACAATCACAAAAGAATAACCTCTATCCTTTCAGGTACATTATCATCAATAGGAGCACTAGTGGAACCAGAAGCAAGTTCCAATTCCTCAATCTGGAAAACCTACTGGCTGCAGAAAAGCAAGAAAACCCTTTCCTGTCATGAAGATTACAGACTTCTGAGATGTGACACCATGTAACCTGGTATATTGTTATTGTTATTGATATTTTGGAGGAATATCAGTAATGATTTACATACCACATGGCACAAAATCCCAGAAGATAGTAATCTTCATAACCACCACCATGAGAACTTCAAATGTTCCTATCATGTCAGCAGGAGTCCAACAGGAAGGCAACGTGAAATGCTCTGTCATTAACATACAACTCAAGATTTAACCAACAAAGCGGACATCAGATAAATAAAGGACTGAAAAAAAAAATGCAAATGAGTGTGAGGATCAAAGAAAGAATTCATATGGAAACTACACCATTCACAAGGAGGCTGTATTGACTTTCTAGGAATACTTCATGCAGTTATTGTCATCCTGTATGAACAAAGGCTCTTCTCCTTCAAGCAAATGCACAGCTTTCAAATTTTTAAATATCTTGCCCTCAAGATCTACCCAATGACAAACCAGTCTAGAAGGGTAATTGTCATTTCTCTCCAACACTGTCATCATTATTCTCTTATTAAGCACAGGAATTTTGCAGCTATGATGCATTTATTTTGCTCCATATTTTCTTTAGAACTAATATATGAATAAATTAACACAAGCCTCAAACAACAACACAGTTGTTACAGAGATAAGTTGTGCATGCATCTGTAATCATGTAAATATATTAACAAATGTACATTAGTTGAAAAGTAGACCTATCTGTAATAATATATATTATTTATATGCTTTTAAACATGGAATGGCACAGCTGGGAACATTATTATATTCTTAATAATATATTATGGCTGCCTATTCACTGACTTACTGAAGACAAAGATCATGTATTGCTCAATGAAGACACACAAGGATGTGGCTGGACAGCAAAATATAAACTTCATCTTCATTAGTATTCATATTGTTACTTCCCTTCTAAACTTTCTTCAGCATAGGGAGGTTCAGACACTCTGGGATTTCAATGTCTTCCAGACGAATATTTGATGGATTAAATGGAAATCGAACAGGGTAGCTGAATTTTGTTTCCATGAGCAATGTAGCCTGAAACACATAAAATGCATTGAAATGAATATCCTTCATTAGAGCCAAAGAAGCAAACTGCTGCTTCACAATGTAGGCCAATGGCAGAGCAAGACTCTGGCAAAAGTGTCAGCCAAATACTAAGGAGGATAGGTTGTGAAAATTAGGGCAACTGAGTGTATATGAGTGAGAGTTGCTAAATAGATCACAGATAGAAGTAAAACAGTTGTAATGGATGTAATTGAGCAACTCAGGAGAGAATTCAAGCACTACAGTGAGAACTGCTTGAACATCCACTTTACAGCCCAGACTTGGACCCTAGTGACTTCCAACTGTTTGATCCACTAAAAAATCACGGTGATGGAAAATGTTTGGCTGATGACAAAGAGGTTGAAACAGAGGTGCAGAAATGGCTGAGACAACAGTCAAAAGACTTCTATGGTGCGGGTTTCAACACGTTGGTAAAGTGATGGGACAAATGTGCCAATGTTGGTGGAGGGTAAAAAGGTTAAGTTCTTCCTGTGCTTAACTAATTAAGTACTACAACACGAAGGCATATGGGAGAATGGATGTGTAGATCCACATTTTCTTGACCTCAGCACTAGTTGGAGATGACTGGTCAGCTTCACACCCCGACCACTTTACCCCCAGGGAAAGAGCCCCTGGTACCCATTGGATAGGTGGCTGAGTGGGCACCAAAGCTGGTCTGGACAGCATGGAGAAGAGAACAGTCTTGACCCTACAGGGACCTGAACTCTGACCCCTCAGTCATCCAGTCCATAGCCAGTCACTATACCAACTACACTATCCCGGCTCCTGTTGGTGAAGGGTATGTCGAAAGATAAATGATTTTCTAGGTTCGAGTATATCATGTTTTATGTTTTATATCCATTCGTGACCTATTTACTAACTCTCCCTCATACTTCATACAAGACACTTACACAGACATGAGCTTAAAAATAATAAAGTCATGGAAGAAAAGGGGAAGGAAATGTAAACTAAGAAAAAATGGTTAGTGACAAATGAGTTTACCTTTTTCAATTACTCCTTGTACTTAAGTTCCATGCAATGATTATTATCGGTGAAAATATCTATCACAGAGTCCTAGAAGTTCAAACTGTTTCCCAGGTCTGGAAGAACTTTCTTCACAATTGTCATTAAAGATAAGTTACTGCAGTCCCCTAAGTATGCGTGCTGCATAGGTTACACAATAAGGATAAGTTGCTATGCATTCTGTGAGCATGCATGCAACCGAAGTGTGTTGACATTCCACATTTGGTTAACATGATAGCTTGAAGTGTCATGCACTCCCTCCTCCCCTCAAGCCTGTATACTTCATTCTGTCTCTTCGATTAATGCCTGTGCTCACAAACAGCTAAGCTAAGCCTGAAGGCATTGGCTAACAATGCTCATGATGGGCTGGCTGGAGATGGCAGACAATGCATTATATGATGGTCTCTCCTGCAGCACAAGGAGTACCAGTGAACCACAAAGTAACATTTTTTACTTTATTTTTCAAAATGTTGGCCTGACTAATGTGGTAGCAAGAACATTCCACCACAGATGTAAGCAGTCAGTCAATGCTGCTCTCTCTCTGCAGACATCATACATTTTCGAAAGCACAGTCAACAAGTGCAATTGACAATTATGCTATTCAAACTTGTAAATGACAAATGTGTAGACAATTCTATCTGAAAACAAAATTTCCATAATAATATGCTCCTTCAAATGCCTTACAGTTTCTTAACAAGACCTCAAAAGAATATCAAACTTGAAAGTGATAAAATATGCTACTGCAGATCACTTTTTTCAAAAGTCTTCTCTTTTAACTACTGCAGAAAGATGACAAAAAACATAACATGACAGCAATGATACCACCAAAAGCACCTGCTTTCAGAATGTGCCAATAGAAAGAAACAAAATGATTTTACAATTACAACAGAGCTTAATTCAGTTAAGTGCTGAGTACTTTACCTGTTCCTGTGGGCCAGCACGTTCCTGTAATGTTGCCTGAACCTTCCGAATGAAAGAAATTGGAACGCGTTCCTCAAACTCATCTGCTGGGGTGTACAGGTTCAATATCTTGATTATCTGTAAGAAAAATGAGACAAAAATCAAGAATGACTACTTCAACTTATCATTTGGCTTTCACATTGCATATATAGTTTTTGAAGAATACAGAAAAATATCAATATAGTATTTGCAAGGATCCCTGCATTGACTGGTCACATGTTCCAAAAATGATACTTTAACACACAGCATCAAATAAAATACTGTAATGTGTTTGGAGTAGATACTTCCATGGTAACTCAGTAACAGTGGGTCGTTGCATAAGAATTGCAGAATCAACGAAGCAGCATTTGCCCGGAGATAGACAACAGAAGGTTCATTGCGTAGCAACGGCAATGCAATTCGCCAAGACACTCTTGGGATAGCCGCCGCTGAAGACAGTTGGGATCCAGCCACGGTCAGAGACAGTTGGAAGATAGCCACCACAGAATGCAGTTGAAGCGATACTATTTGTATTTGAGTGTGCAAGAATAAATGTGTTCGCTAAATCCGACACCTACGTGAATTTACTTGTCACGTGACATACCAACAGGTGACCATACTCTTTCCTAATTTCAAGTCAGCATAAAACAACTAGAAACAAACTCCGTGGCTTTAGTCTGCAAGTGAACTATATTGACCAAGCAACTGCCGCTTGTCAGCGAAGTTAGTGCCAACTTTAGCAGATAGAGGGTGTTGCGTGGTCAGTGCAACGATCTCCACAGCCATTAATTTTGATTTTCTAGACTGAAGCCACTTTTTGAAGTAATTTACCTGGTACATAGACAGCTTATCACACATATCACAGACACTCTGAACGTCTTCATCTGTCTTTCTGGCCTGCAACAACTGAGCAGCCTGAACGATGGGTTGCAACGTGTCCAGCACCTTCGTTTCCTAAAACAATAAACACATGAATAAATTACAAAAGAAACTGTGGATGAATAAAGTCCAAGTGCAGTGAATAAAGAATTGAACCAAAACACTTATGTCAATTAATAAAGTGCTCTGAAAATGGAGGCACAAGGTTCACTCATATCTGTTTACCAAAACACATGGTACCATCCAAGATGGCTCCAATCCCATTCACCAACATGAGACCCTAAGATCTCAACACCTGAAGCTGTGCAAGGGTATAAAGTATACTCATAGGTTTAAAAAAAATTCTCTGTAATTCACTCCCTAAAACCTTGAGGTGAAACTTTTTTCTATGTGAGACTATTCGAGAGATAAAACAGAGACTGTGATATCCTGAACTCAAATCTGTGCACTTTATCAAATTCCATTGCCTTTTTCTTCACTGTATGATAACATAAAAGAAAACTAGCTTTTTACATTAATTTTAATTCCAAACATGAACACAAAAAAATGTGCATAAGGTCACAGTTTTGTTTGCTCAATTTTGAGCCGAAACAGCAGGTTTCTAATTTCACTTCTGTACTTCATCTCTGTTTTCAACAATTTCTGTCAGTCATGATGCAAGAATATGTTTAAATACTGAATAAAAATTTATTCTCATTTAAACAACAACATTAGGCAAACTGCAGTAAATATGCTCATATGTACTGCATACAAGAAATAATAGATAAACAACTGCGTCTTATAAGTCTCTGACTACCATTTTGTGATCAGCACACCCTACTTAGTCAAGAAAGGTTTATTTATTATCAAGAAAGTGAAAACATTCTGTAATGTGCAATTTTTCTTTAATAAACTTGTTTATTTAAGATGCTTATATTTTTGGTTCACTGTTATCACACCAAAATATTCTAAGCAGCTACCATGTTATTTTTAATTTTCCTAAAATAGTAACTTACTAAAGCTGCACATTTTTCAATATTAATGACCACACAGACAACTAAGATGCTGAACTGTACTTCTAGTTGTTATCACCTCACAAATGTTTGTAGCTGCCATACTGGTAGTGACAACAGGACCTTCTATATACAGACTGCATACAGCAGTGTTTCTGAAACTGTGGTCTATGGTGGTTCAGCAGATGGTCCATAATATTATATGGATCATATAGTATTACATGACATGTAGCAAAGAAAATAAGTTAAATTTAAAAAAATTGACTTTAAATTGGTGAATTGATCAAAGTGGTTCATGACAACTTTAATTACAATTTTTCACCCATTAAAAGGAAAAGAAACAACTGCATGCTCTTTACAGTTAAAGGGACTGTCATAACAGCTGAAAGGTCCACAAATGCACCCAGAACCCATGCAGTGGTCCACAGTTGTTGAAACTTTGAGAAACACTTGTATACAGCTTATATAAAGCTCCATAGAAATTGACAAATTAATGCCTGTAATACTGAACCACAACTGAATCAGGGGACCAACAGACACACTGAGCTCATTAACCAGAAAGAATGAACCATTCCTTTGCAACTCTAAAAATTAACCTTTATCAGACTAATGTCACCATACGGCGTCATTTAAAGTACAGCCGAGTGGCCGTGCGTCACCATATGGGTACCTGCAATGCACGCGTGCGCACAGTGTTTTAAAATCTTATTTTAAGATAGAAATTCTTGTTCTACTTACACTATTTTTGGACACCAGCTTTATAAGTAGACTGTCTTCCTTCCTGCATCATCTAACTGAATGCTGCATGTCACGGAATGCAGAGTCTGATGTTGCAGTTCATGCACTTTGTCCATAATTAACTCTGTTTTCCACGCGAAGCGTGCACAAGCAATGTTAGTCTCGTATTAGCAGGAAGTAGGCCAGTGATGGCGAATGGTCTCCTCTATTCATAACGCTTATAAAACATCACAATTTCAACTATGCACCAGGACCCCTTTTCACATTGAAGAATTCAAAATAGAGAAGCCGCTCGTAAATCACACCATTCAGAATGCGTTACAGTTTATTCTGAAAGGACATGGATGCAAGTGGAATGGGGTGATATTCCAAGAACTGCCTCTGTCTGGACAGTCTGACATACGTGAATAAACAAACAGAGTTTCATATGGTCAATGTAGGTTAAGAAATCGCCAACACTCCGTTATACAGATAGCATATGTGACTGGAGAATGTGAGTATGTAAACATCCTCTCCTATTACCAGATTACACACAAGAGTGTGCATCAGCACCATGCATTTATACTGCAGAAACGTATTGTGCAGAAGCTTTATGCATTTTTTGGACAGACGCTCAAAAATTGGGCATCTTTTTTTGGAATCAATGTAACAATTTTTACAGATTCTAAAATCGGTAAATTACAGTATCTGATTCTATATACTTTCTAGATAAAAGTAGCGTTTATTTCGTTCGTTTATCACAAAAATTGTAGAAATAACAGCATTTTGAGTAACATGATTACAATTTTTATTACTCTACAATGAAGGGCATTTAAATTAAATCCACCCCGCTGCCACTACCGGAATTTAAATGGCCGTCAGATAAAGGTTAAATATGTCATCATCATCACTATCAACTTCACCATTGCTAATATATTCACTGCCATCTGTTATTCATTTTCCTACCCAGTCCTGAATACTCTGTGTTTGGATTACCCCATCTCTTGGTTCAACAGGAATCACAACTAAAGCACCAGGTAACACATAATGAAACCCCATTTAAGGTTTCTTTTGGGACGTGATTCTGAAAATTAAACCACGGAAAATCTTAAACAGGGGTATCAGTACTGTCAAAATGCAATGCTGGGCCAGCTGAACCACATATATGCACTGTTACATTAGTGCAACGCATGCCCAACAAAGTTTTAACAAGGTACTTTATACAAAGGGCAGCCTATAATGCAAACACCATTCATGCCCCCTCATACAACCATCCTTACTTCCGACCCACATTACAATTACAATACAAAGTGTTATCATCAAGCAAGTTATCATTCTGACCTGCATTCGCTGGTCTCTGATCCACTGTTCAAGGTGTGACAGGTTGTATCTGATCTGCATACCCTTCGTCCAGTGACATAGATCCTTCCTCAGCAGCAAGTTGTTCAGTGAACTTGCAGAGATGAAATAGAATAACTGCAAAAACACAAAAATTACACTATTCACTTAAGAGAAGTACACACAATTAGTTACTGCATTAAAAATTTAAGAGGTAAAATAAAAAAGTTGTAGTTGTCCCTGTGCTTAACTAATTAAGCACTATGCCATGAATACACGTGAGAGAATACATGTAAAGATCCATGTATTCTTGACCATGGTACTAGTTTGAGGTGAGTGGTCAGCTTCACGCTCCGGCCGCTTTACTCCCTGGGAAAGAGTCCCTAGTATCCATCAGATAAGAGGCTGGGTAGGCCCCAGAACTGGTCTGGAGGACATGGAAAGAAGAAAAATCTTGCCCCTACCAGGACTCAAACTTCAACCCCTCAGCCATTAGCCCATAGCCAGCCGCTATACCATCTGCATTAGCCTGGCTTCCATTAAAAATCTAAATTCTAATAAAATTTCTGATTAATGTTTTTAGGCTTTCATGGTTTCATGCAGTTGCAGTTTCCACGTTAAACGTCGCACAATGCGACACACAAAAGGCTCCACGTAGGAGCATACAAGATTCAAATGATTCATGCACTAAAACTGTGTGACCAAGTAGCATGCACAAACTTCGCTGTGGATATGCTAGAAAGAACTGACACATCACACAATTTCCTCCACCAAGTGTGCTTCTTGGATGAGGCTACACTCTATGTCAATCGAGTTGTAAACAGGTACAACTGCAGGATTTGGGGCAGTCAAAATCCACATATTGCACGTTTTCTTTTCAGAAAAGACTGTGACCAGATGTTTGTCCTTGGACATGCCGGAGCTGTATGTGCTGCCCCAATTAACATCACAAACTATCCTCCAAGAAGATGGGGGTGCCACCACATTTCTGCCACCATGTTAGGAATCACCTGGGCAGAGAGATGGCTTGGAGATGAATCAGAAGAGGCTGGCCAATCGCTTGGCCTCCTAGGTCACCAGATTTAACTCCAGTGGATTTTTCTTGTGGTGTTATGTGAAGAACAATGTCTACCAGGTTAAGATCAACAACCTTCAACAACTAAAAGCCAGCATAAGGGACACTGTGGGTACGGTAACACCAAACATGCTTCAAGCAATGTTGAATGAGGTCGAATATCGTCTGGATATTTTTCATGCCACCAAGGGAGCCGATATTGAAATTTACTGAGAAAGTTATATACTCAGAGAAAAACTTTGACGGTTTCCTTTTGTAATGGTGTAACCCATAAATGTGTATAATAAATGATTTCTGAGATATACTTATTGTATTTCTGTTACCTTTCATCCGGACACTCTGTACACCACTTTCTAACACATCACCAAGTAGGTTTCTAAGCAGCTTCATATCAGAATGCACTGCCGAAAATTTAACAGGCTCATGTAATGTGGAATGGAAACATGTATTTTCCAATACAAAGTTTAAAAAAACTGAGCAAATAGCCTAGAAGTTTCTTAATAATGATTCTCAGAATCACATGGAACAAATTACAAATGTGCAGAATCCTTTGAAATGATCAATATTTCTGTATGTATTTCTTACTCACCTTGAAATGCTAAATTCCATTCTTTGATTACTCTGACAACACCAGCGTCCATATATCATTTCCAAAAACAATTAGTCTATCACTTAGAAAGTGACAATATAAGAACATAAAACTGACCTGTCTGAACACCTGGATAATAACTTCTGGGTCCACGCCATGAAAACCAAGGCTGCGATGGAATGCAGTCAATTCCTGCAGTAATGTATCCAGAGCCTTCTGGGCATCCACCGGTAATTCTGACTCCCTAACAAAGGATGAGGCTCGGCCTCGCATGCCTCCAGGCTTCTGACCAGAGAGTCCTGATATCGCCTCATGCTCCAGTATGGCAGGTACTATCATAGGTTGAACTCTTTCTTCCAAGTGTCGAATCACACCCTGCACATAAGTTTGGAATATAAGTTCTGAGGGTATGTTGGCTATCTGGGTTGACAATATGTAGTCTTGTTAGTGGCTACCAACATTTTGGAGGAATGTGCTACCTCCATCTTTAGAGAAAACTGAGTTGGAAGTGAAGTTATACATGCATTTTGTAAAGAACATGACAGAAGTGAGGGGAAGAGGAAAACAAAATTGTTCAGGCCAATAGGAGGAGGATACAGGAAATGTAAGGAAAATTACCATTTTCATGATCACAATATGGATCTTCATAGGTGCAAATATATAGGTAAAAGCTTTCCCTTCAAAAGGCCATGGAGGCCCATAGGCTTGTGAGCCATCGAGGCTCCCACATTTTCTAGATAACTGTCTCACAGATGGCACTGAGGTTGTCAGCTTTATGCACTAGCCAACCTTTACCACCAGCAAGGTTCCTGGAACTCATTTCTATCAGAGGCTGAGTTGATCCCAGGGCCATAGTGAGGCTGGAAAGATTAGATTAATTGAAAAATTCAATGATCTCATCAGGAATTGAACCTGCTACATTTGGGCTTGTAGCAGTGTCTCAACCGACAATGATACTGCATGTCCCCGTTTTCACAGGTGGGACATGGAATTTTGATAAAGGAAGGTGATAACTCAGGTCCGTGAGAAGGGGACAGAGGAATATTTAAAAGTTTGTCTTGCAGTGACTGTAACATAGTGATCATCAGACACAACCTTTTACAATCAAACAGAATATCACATGGTACAGTCACAAGAATTTTATGTGTGCATCTTATCTCACATTCAAATCAATGAAACAAGTGAACAAAAATAAAATAATGTGCTGCAGTAGAATACAAATGTGTACCTGATAAATCCAAACAGCGATATCAGACAAGACCTGCCGATACTCTGACAAGTCAAAGTTGTGAAGGCATTGTTCATTCTGCTTCTGCGTGTTCTCAGTTTGGAAAATCTTGTCACCACTGTATTGCTTCAAATTATGTAGCAATCGCAGAGTGTTAGTCAGCCACAAAACTGTCGTATCCAGATCTTCATGACGCTTCCTAATGACCTTCTTGATGGTGTTAATGGTAGCTGTTAGCAGCGACCGAACCTTCTCATCATCATTTGCGAAATCTGTGTGCCTGATACACATGAACAAGATGTATGCTGGCAGCCCTGGCAAGAGACTTACAGCCACACGAGGTTTCAAATCTGAAAGACAGCAATTTCAAACTTATCAGGCCCTTTTCTGAAAGAAATTGCACATTAAATTACATTATAACACAAATATTTCCTCTGTCTCATTGAAATTCATGTTCTGTCACATACTTACCAATCAATATATGATTCTACTTATATTGCCTGTATGAGTATAGAGGTTATAGAAAACTGTGACTTTGTTGCTCTTCAAATTAGCATTTAATATAGTAGAATATCTTCGTACTCTGGTCCTGATTGTAAAACAATTCATTCTGCTAACTTCAAGTGTGACAAGATGGGCAGGGCATGGAGCACAAATGGGGGGAGAAGAGGAATGCATATAGGATATTAGTGGGAAAGCCCAAAGGAAAGAGACCACTGAGATGTAGGTGGGTGGATAATATTAAAGTGAAACTTAAAGACTTAGGATTGGGTGGTATGACCTGGATTGATCTGGCTTAGGACAGGGACCAGTGGAGGACTCTTGTGAACATGGTAATGAATCTTTGGGGTCCATGAAATGTTGGGAAATTCTTGAGTAGCTGCACAACTGGCAGAGGGAGTAAGTTAGTTAGCTTCAGGTGTGGCTGATCTACTATCTTGAAACAATGCATGTGAATATATACTAGCTTCACAACTACTGGGAAAGCAACTGTGTCTGGCATATGAAATTACAGTCTTGTAGAACTACAAGGAGCCAATATTCTGGAGGATCCTGCAGCTTCCATGATCAGAGCAGGTCTATCTGATGACAAAGGCAACATGTTCCTTTCAAACATTGTTACTTATTCACCAAACCTAATGGTGTCACATCCAAGAAGACCATAAAATTAAAATTCACTGCCATGAGAACCTCAAATGCAAAGCAGATAATGAATACAGAACTGTAACATTATATAATAAACTTTCCCTAAAATGACAATACTAAGTTCTGTCAGATTTAAGTTCTGCAGAACTAACAGCGAGGAAATAATTTAAGAGTAATATCCCTAAGGAAGATTAATATTTTCATATGTAAAACAGAAAAGTAGCAAGTTTGGGGTCAAAAATCACTGAAATGAATAGCAATGTTTTGTTTCCCCCCATGTAGAGGGCTTCATGTTAGGTACTGGGAGAATGAAAATTGGCTCTTAGATTATTTAATGGCATTGTTTCAGCTGTACACGTCATATAACATGGAACGACATGAAAGAATGCTCATGAATTGGGACAAGTAAACAGTGCAGGAAGTGGTCATCGCCAATTTCAAAGCACTATCCTCAAAGTTATCTGAAGGTGCCAAGGAAAACCATGGGAAACTTCACTTAGGACAGCTTGTAATCTGGACAAGATTCAGACATAGAGTGCCTCAGTCTACGCCAACCTACCGGGTGGTGGTGTGCATCTGATGAAACACACTGCTGCTGGCACAGATACGAGATAGTGCTGATCACAAGTAAATGTGTTCAAGATGGGTCACTCTCTTCAATTGTTAATTTTTCAGTATTGTAACAGATCTGATCAATGCACTGCTAGGCAACAACTCTGTAAAAATGGTCCAACACGTAACAATAGATGAGGCTGTGTTTCCCGTGTCCATGGTGACATCATGGAGCGGTGGGTGGTGGTTATATGACATGTGTTTCCTGTGATACGTGTCCATCCTTGGCTATATAAGTGACAGAATTTGATCAGTTCAGGGGCAGTTATGAGTCACTTGTAAGCTGAAGCAGTGAGTCAAGAAGCTTCAGTTCCGAGGTTCCCGAGTGACTGAAGACAAAATAGCAAGAAGACATCACAGGAAGTTGAAGTGCTAGTTTCTGTGTTGAGATCCGTTGTCAGGAGATGACCAGTGAAGACAGACAATCCTAGCGCATGGCAAAGGTGAACTGGAAATTGTGTAAATCAGTGATAGCGCTGTATTTAAGTGTGATTAGGAGAACTTGTAACTGAAGTGTTAATAAATCCAATCATCCGAACTAGAACCTGGCATTTTCATCTCACGTCATACGTAACCCCCTACATGTGACAGTATAATGGATATACAAATGACATACCATATATGAGGTGTTTGACTATGATCTGTGCATCTTCCTTGCGATATTCAAACATGCCCATGTAGTCACGCTCCTTCTTACGCACTACAGGCAAGTTACTTCTCTGGTCCTGAGGCAATGCAACAGCAGTGGAAGGTAGAGCCTCACCATCATTCACAGCTTCTGTTACTGAAAACAATTGATCAGTGTCTGTGGAGCAGAACTGCAATATATGTATATGTATGTGTGAACACACACCAACATAATCTTTCCTTCGTGAATCTAACTCACACTTATTCTCTGGGTGAAAAAGAAATTCCTGCTTCCCATGTTTGTGAGTGTAATAATTAAATGAGGGAATCACAAATATCTATTTATATAACCGCCAAAGTCAGTCTCTCTATAACACAGTTTCTCTCAAATGGTAAATCTTAGAAAGACATTTGTCTGAGAGAGACAACTGCAAGAAACTGTTAATTTTGCTGCTGCATTCATGACTTGAGGTCAAGCTAATTTCACAGTAATTCCTCCATGGGAGTTCCCCAACAATGGGGAACAAGTATCTATAGTATCTATATTGAACATGTTTTACAGTCATCATGGCAATGTGATGGCAATGAGTATATAAACTGCGTACATTTTATAGCAACAACCTCCTGTATCAAATTTCTATCCAAATCTCTCCCCACTTACAGCCTCAGTGTTTCATGGAGATAAATGTAATGAGATATCTTTACAGCAACTCTTAGTACTGGGTTGCAACATATATAGCTTGTTACACATATTCTCAAGTGTCCTATTTGGTAACATATTAATCTTACCTCCTACATCCTTTAATTTCTTTGCAAGAAGCTTAATCTGTTTCCTGTATTTTCTGCACTGTTCTGACAATACATCACACTTCTCTTGCAGGTCCTGTAGAAAAAGAAAAGTTTACCATCAACATAGTTCTTGCAATAGAAAGGTAAGGCAAAGTTGTCACTGTGCTTAATTAAATAAGCAACATGCCAAGAATACATGTGGGGGAGTTGAGGTACAGCTCCACCATTCTTGACCTTGGAACTACATGTAGGTGAGTGGTCAGATTCATGCCTTGGCCACTTTACCCCAGGAGTACCCACTGGATAGGAGGCTGGGTGAACCCCAGAGCCAGTCTAGAGGCTGTAAAGCAGGGAAAAATCTCTTGTCCCTGCTGAGAATTAAACCTTGGCTGTCCAGCCCATAGCCCATGAATATACTGCGTGTGCTATCTGGATCCCTTGAAATATATGGAGGTAAAGTAAATTAAGTACAATTCAAAACCATTCCACTTCACTTGTAAGCATATTATTTGAAATCATCTTCTCAAAATCCTTACTTAGAATAAATTTGAAGATTTCAAAATGAGTGTCACAAAATTAATGTAAAATACTGCATACTGTAACCACTAACCAACAGATGAATCAGTAAATTTTCATCTAGTGACATTTCATAGCCATCACAACAGTTAATGTTGGAGTGGCAGACATTCTGTAGCTGTCAACATATGCCAATTGTTAAGTTGATCGAAAAGGTCCTAGTGGTTCAGAAATACTTTAAACAGACTTTCATTGTAATCAAACATCCTACTTGTTACTGCAGATTGACACTTCATAGCTAAAAGTAAACGTTTCTCTTCTAAAAAAAAAATTCATTAGGGTCATACAGTCTAAGAATAAAAACTGTCCAAGCAACTTTTTGCTTTCAGATTTCCAGACATCATCAAGTAAAATTATTTTCTGTTTGGTAAGAAGGGCATAAAATCATTATGAAAAGAATAAATTCACTAAGAACTGTCACATCAATGAGCTAAGTGTTCTTTTCTGAACTAGGGCCCAAGTACTGCGCTTGAAACTCACTGCCTAAATAAGGACTCGATTTATATAAATGTGTATATAATTTTGGTATAAATGAAAACACTGGCAGGTTAGAATACCTCCATCACAGCCCTGCAAGTAAGAAAAGGTGATAAAAATGGAACCCTAGTGCCTAGGGGTATAACCGGGCCACCCTGTCACTGGGGGACATAAATACAGAGACCTGGTCTTCAAGAGTGGGGGTTGGATGCAAATCTAACAACTTTGCTCTATAAACGGTTACTGTTGAGAAATCCTCAGAAATGAAAACTAGATGGTCTAAGTGACAACATGTCTGGCAGAATCTTCTAAGGAAAGCCACAGCTCAAAAAAGGCTGTTTTGACAATAAATCAAAACTGACAAAATCTGGCTTCAGTTCTGCCCACTGAGCACTAAAGAAATGTCTGAAATGTCATGACCTGAGGCTTCACAATCATCTAAGAAACAGCTGTAACTCAGGTATGCAGTCATAACTGGTCATAAATGTAAAATAAACGTTCTAGTCAAAGAAATTTACCTTGACCAACAACATACCTTCCAATATTAATGAAAGTATTCACATAACAGAGTTATTCATGCTGCCTGTACTTACAAGGTTCTCTGATGTCAGCCGTGTTATCTCATGCTGCATGAAAGCCTCAGTCTGTGTCTGAGGGCTCATGGTTAAGTTAACAGAAAGCAGCTTCTGCTGCCGGTCATTATCTTCCCTTAACTTCTCTATCTCCTGCATAAATTCAACTCGTTCAGCCTGCCACCGTGTTTTCTCTGCCTGCAGTTCATCTTCCAGCTGCCTGTATACCAACAATGCACTTTAAAAACATGAATACAATAAATCCAGCTCTCATTTTCTGCAACTACAAATTATTTTATATATCAGAACAATAAAAATGTGTCCTTATTTCTAATAACAAAACTCCACGTTAGTTAACATCCTGTCTAAGGACATCAGACACTCCATCATGGCTTGTGACAATACACAGAAACTATTAATCATTTATTCTCCTTCTTCTGTCCTCCACAGAATAGTTTGATGCTTGATCTGACTTCAAAGCCACTTTTGAACAGTCTCTATGTATCTCTATATCCCTTCTGTTTGTCTGTTGTTACTGTCCATTTTGGTCAAGAGGGTTAACCATTTCTTTCTGTAATCATCTATTTTTCCATTTACTGAACACATATTTTGTACCGGGTATATCCCTTAACACAACAAACAAACAAATTCCGTGGCCTGTAGTCTGCAAGTGAACTATACTGTTCGAGGGACCACTGCTTGTCGGCGAAGTTAGTGCCAACTTCTGCAGATAGAAGTGTCGCGTGGTCAGCGCAACAGATTCCCATGGCCGTTAATCTCGGTTTTCTATACTGGAGCAGCTACTTTTCCATTCAAATAGCTTCTTAATTATCCTCACGAGATTGAGTTGACCCCGTTCCAGAACCACTACATTTCAGAAAATCTGGTAGCACCAGGAATTGAAGCCGGGACCTCTGGATCTGTAACCAGGAACTCTGACCACTAGACCACAGAGACACTTCTTACAAATTTCATTTCCACTGCTTAATCTTAGAAGAGGGGTATGTGGTAACATAGTTCGTTGAGGCACTATGCTACAAGTTGGAAGGTCACAGGTTTGATTCCCAATGAGGTCACTGGATATTTCAATTCACCTAATCCTTTCAGCTGACTATGACCCTGGGATAGACTCAAGTCTCTAACAGAAATGAGTAAAAGGAATCTTCCTAGGGGTTAAAGGACAGTCAGTGGGTAAGGCTGGCAACCTCACTGCCATCTATGAGACGATTGTCTAGAGAATGTGGGAGCCTCAATGCCCCACAACACTATGAGTCTCCAAAGCCTGTTACAGGGACAGCTTTACCTAATCATGGAAGAGGCTGTTTTGCTCTGAATATTTTGCTTCAAGTTTGTTATATAAAAATCCTCTCAGTATCGAGACTACATAGCGTCAATGGCAAGATAACTAATAAATATGGAATATATGGTGGAATGAGAATTGGCAGAAGAAACCTATGCACTCAGAGAAAATGTGTCCCAGTGCCAGTCTGTCCACCACAAATCCCATATGATCTCACCTTGGATCAAACCCAGGCCATCATAGTGGGAAGCCAGTGGCTATTCTACCCTGAAAATTGAGGTATCACATTCCTCCAAAACGTTAACAATGACTGGCCAGACTATATGGCATTGCATTTCAGAGGACCGTAATCTTCAAGGCCACTAAAAATATCAGCGTATCAAGAAGATTGTTTACACAACTGTACTTACAGCCAGCTTCAACAGAAGCTGCTTATAACAAAAGGAAATTCAGTATCTTCACCGATACCTTTCAGCCAAGCAACTCACCTATTGATTTTCTTCTGAGCCTCAAAGGCCAGTACCAGTTCCCCATCTTCATTAATAATATCAACATGGCTACTGTAGTTGTTACTAGCTACACTCTTTAATCCTTTTGTCTGGTTTGCCAGCACACTATGCAGCTGAATACACTCCTCTCTACGGCGATCTAGTTCCAACTGACATGTTTCCAGTTGTTCTGAAAAAGAAAATGTTAATGACTGAAGTCCTTCTGCCTCACCCTTCTACCAAACAGTGCCTCAGAAAAACGGTAACAACAAAACATTTTCCCTTTGGAAAGACAACCCTGAGAAAATTATTAAATTGTCTCCTAAGTGCGTGGGGTTAAGTACAAGCAAACCAATTGCAAAAGTACTCTGTCCATAAGAAAGCATTGGGGTCAGGACAAAAAATCTGAACTATTTTCTGTTGTTACTTAGATATAGGGGAAAACCAAAATTATCTTCTGTCATTACCAGGGTACAATGGAAAATCAAAACTGTCTGCTGCCATTGCTACATAAGGGGGAGGGGTAACGACAGCGCACATCTTATGAATTTAGTGACCAGGCATGGGGTTTGGATTGGTAGTTGAATTTACTGATCACTTATAACTTGTAAATAAAAGTAATTATAGTGTTATCACTAATTCACACACTCTACAATTCACTATGGCATGCATTAAGTCTTCACTAGGCATTGCCTAGCAACAGATCCAACAAGAATGTCCTCTTTTGCCCACGTCATTACTGGCTGGCAACTGTCTTGCATATAACTCAGGCTCCAAATCCCTTCATATTCTGAGCTTCCTGGCCATGGCTCACAACTAGTTTCCTATTCCCAGCTCGAACATTAGCTTCCAAGTCAGAGGCAGTCAGAGTTACTTAATAACTGATGATTTACTGCCAGTTTGCCTTGGTGCCAAGCCCCTGGAGGATCACACTCAGAGAATTCTTTTTCAAATGACCCTTGCAGTCATAGTCCTTATGTAACATCCTCTCTAACAAGAATATGGATTTGTCTGTTATGAATATACTTGGCCTTTGTCAAGTGTACGTATTACATATATAGCATGTTATCGAAAATTCTTCCAAAGTCAAAGTCAAAGTCACATTGCAACTGACGGTCAGTCAGTCAGTCAGTAATTCTTGGTGTCAAGATATTTATTGCTGTTTGACAGTCACAGTCTTGTTTTCATGGGGTGCCCTCTCTGACGAGAGGATGGGTCTGTCTTTTGTATATGCTGCTGGCCCTTGCCAGCTCAGTCTTTTTCGGGTCCGAGTCCCTTGGAATTCGTGACCATATTTTACTGTCTCAGATTTGAGACTTCCCTTTTCGTTGCCTCTTATGACTCGCAGGGTCACGGTGCAGGTAATCGACCCCACCTCCACATGAGTGTCTACTGTAGTCACATTGCAACTGTCTGGTATGCTTATATAGCCTCAGCACTAGCCCAGTACAAAACACCACTTCCAACATTCCTTCTACTGTTGTGTGTTATCTGTTTCCACATGTTTTGGTTCTGGGATAACGTGTTTACTGGCCATTCCCTAGCAACAGCCATCCCTTATGTTTCCACTATTCTGGTTTCAGCTGCTATGTCACAATATGAATGGGATGAGAAAGGAATATGAAAGAAAAGTTAGATGGAGATGAAAGCATAAAATGGATAAAGAATCAGAGAAGAAGGGAGGGAGACAAGGGAGGTGTTTTAACTTGATGGAGAGGGAAGTAGGAGCAAGGGAGAGATGAAATGAACAAAAAAAAAATTAAAAGAAATAATTACCCCACATTAAATTTGAAAGTTGATGTACAAGACCAGCACAAAAGCAAAAATAGTTTGTGGAATTTCAGTGCTAATATTTCTGCACAGAGTGCTACCATTTCTATGAACTAACTTTCTTCATACCTTGCCTAACATATGGCAGAAGCTTTGAAAGTGTTTAGAAAAGTACAGAGTAAGTATAATTCATGCAAAGTCTGAACAAGTCCTCTCCATTGCAGCATGCAACCAAGCCAGACTAAACTCATTCACCACAATAATGATGGTACGTGTAATTATACACTGTTCAGCTGATAACAGCTATTAAACTGACACTGCTGCCAACACTTGAGAAACAGCTATTATGAATTTCAAACAACTGCTACTGTTTCATTTGCTTTCATTACTATTACTAGCATCCCCAAAACATATATCTACTACATGCAAACCAATCACATAACCATTAAAACCACTTACTTAGAAGTTCTTGGCCACCGGTTTCCCCATCTGCCGTCACCTTCCTCAGAGCTGCAAGATCTGTCTTCAGCTTGGCATTCTCCATCTCCAGTTCCTGCAACTATGGAGCCAGCACATTGCAACCACATCTACAGTAATCTTCTGTAATGATAGTCTTATTATATTCTGTATCATTTCCTCACATTCATACTCTACATTTCTAATGAAAGCACTTCATTCTAGATAAGTCAGAATCTTATCTAATCAGTGAATCTGAACAGAATAGCCAAAACTGTGAATGAACGACATGGGTTATAACAAGTCTGCATACAAAATACAGGGAGGATTTTTACTTTGTCAACTGGTTCCCTGGTTCTGCACTTCATGCCAGCTATGAGGTGCAAACAAATTTTGCCTATGAATCAGTGTGCCTGACAGTCAATAACGATCATAATGAAGTAGTTACAATTCACAGACAACAGGAGGTGCTGAAAATGCTGACCCCCTACACGCAGATATTTAACATGTAGAGTACAACTGACAAGAATGACGGGTTCTAGTTCGGATGATTGCATTTACAGTTTTACCTTGGTTACAATCTTTCTTTATCACATTTAAATACAGCGCTATCGCTAATTTACAGTTCACCGCTGCACACGCATTAGGATTCCCAGTCTTCACTAGTCGTCTCCTGGCAACGGATCTCAACATAGAAACTATAATAATCTCAATGGATAACACACTCTAAGTATTATATATAAACAAAGTCTTCAACTACTGAACTGCTTGAATGATGTCTAACTGCCAAAATCTTGTTGAACAGTTTCACTGCTTCCTATATAGGCTCAGCATGGACTACCCACAGAAAACACATCAACTGCTCAGCAACAGATATCATGTACTGTTGTGCACACATTGCAGCGATGAGCTTTCCAGCCTGTTACCTAGCAACACTTTCAGCAAATCCATTACGATATCTTTCACAATTAATTGTTTTGTTAAAAACACATGAACAATCCTTCTTGCACTCACAGTACACCAGACACCACCTTTCACTGGATGAAGCAGGGCTTCATGGGTTAGATGTAGGTTCTGTGAACTTTAGTATCCATTACTTTGCTTATTTATGTATCCCTGCAAGTGAAACCATGCCTCACCAGAAAAGAAGTTCAATTGCGGATTGATCTCACCTTCGACGACAGACTGTAGAAACCAACTGCTAAAGTGAACCCTGCTAGCTGGATCGCACGGCTGCAAGGTGTGCATGGTTGTTTTATAGGGTCTAAGCTTCAGCAATTGTGTTGCTATTCTTGCACTAGACTTTGACACTCCAGTCTCTTGAGCCAGATGTTTCAGTAGCAGCAAATGCTCATATTTTCATCACAAATTATAATAAAACAATTAATGTGAATGATGAAAATCTTTTTGCATTCTTAAAATCTGATTAAATTTGCCCTGTATTTCGACTTGATGTACTTCATCTGGGAAAAAGTTTGTTCACACAGGTATGTCGTTCCAAAAATGGAGATACATTTACAAGCAAATTTCTTTAAATTTGAAAATTGTTCAGAGTTCAGAAATTTATAAAATTTGATCAAATTTCCTTCCTTGTATTTGTCTTTAATAAGATAATTTTCCTGAAGTTCAATAATTTCCATTTGAATTTGACTTGGGACATCTGCAGCATCACAGTCAAACAGATTTTGAAACAACCTAATTTCCTGAGCACTGGCATCCAAATCAGCAAATCACTTCCAAAATTGTTCTTTCAAATCTGAAATGACTAAATTTGCAAATGAGGAAGGAAATTCTGCTGGTGCTATCTACATTGCCACGAAATGACACTGCCAATCAAGGCCTAACAACGAAGAAATACCGCGCGGTATATGGTCCAGAATTAGTAAATTTGTGAATAATATTAATATTAACATAATATGGAATATCAATATATTTTAAACACAATCTTAATTAATGAATTTGAAATCTATGAACAAGCATTTTTTTTACTAGTACTCATTGGAAAATTAGTTCAATTGGCGCATTTCTGCACAATTCTTTCGTGGGCCGAATAAAATCACATCACGGGCCATAGTTTGGAGACCCTTGCTTTAAAGTATACTGCACCATGACATACCACATTGCTCACTAACCGTAACTGAATATAAATGGCTAATGGAGCCGATAACTACTGCTTACTATTGACAAATCATAAACAAGCTCCCACGCATGAACTGCACCGCTCGCCATGAAACAAGAGGTCCACAAGTTCATTACTTCCCTTCATTCCAAACATTATCAGTCACCACACATACTAATTAATCAGCAAAATCTGTATGTGCCTCACAGCAAGAAGGGCATCAGTCGCCATGAAGCAGTCAACAAAGCTAAATTCTCTGTACTTTTCTCATTCAAAACCAAATAAGGTTTAGCTATTATAACCAGTGCCACTGTGATAGTACAAGCATAAAGATAGCTTAAAATGTGAACATTTAAAATGGAAGGAAAATACAAGTACAAGTCTTCAGGTAGTGCACTCATGGTATGAATACTGCCGAGATGACTGGTTGTATACCGCACATTTCATGTGTGAGATTTGGGGCTCCCATGATGGTTAATTTAAAGCTTACTGTCATCTGGGATATGACCATGTATGGTGTTAACCATGACAGACAAATGCCACTATAAATAGATTTTACTGATCAGGATGCAAATAAAGTGTTTCAGTTCCCCTTTTCTATTTCTGCAGTTAATAGCACAAGTGAACCTCATATAAACATAAAGGGCTTCTGTTAGTTATGTGATAAGTACAAAACTAATTTACTACAACGAAACATACCTTGAAAGTGTCTTGAGTCTTTGCTGCATCATCACTAGGACTGTCTTCCTTCTCCAAATATTCAATCCTCTTCTGTAATCGGTTCCTCTCCTTTTCAACATCCTTCAACTTCTGTTGTAACTTCAGTACAAGTCCAACATCAATCTAGAAAAACATTAAACATTAATCTCTACCTGCCATGCAAAGTGTTATCCTGTATATGAGGTGTCAGTGCCATTGATCATCCACAGGTTTGTTCTCAGTCCTTCTCTGGTGCTAAGTGCGCAAGCATACACAGTATGTTTCGGAAATCAGTAACTTTATGCTGACTTGTATGTGGATGGCAAAGACTGACCTGTTCTGGTGGTTTCTGCCCCACAGGACTGACTGTCTCAGATTTGCGTCCTTGTTGCTGATTCCAGTCTATATTTTCAAGTTTCTGGTGGCTTCCAGATGATGTAACACTGGCTGTTGATCTGACTGAGCCATAGCCGTAGTCCTGCGGGTAAGCAGAACTCATTAAAGCAGGCACAGACCATACATAATCAGAAATGATTTGGCTGATATAACAGATACAGTCACCAGATTCATAAACCAAAATGAATGTATGATTGACACCAAATGTGTAATGTACAATTCTTGACATCTATAATATTATTTATGTAATTCTTCTGAGAAGAAATCCAAAGGAAAGCCAATAAGACAAATTAATGGACAACTTTGACCACCTCTGTGGTCTAGTGGTCAGAGTTCCTAGCTACATATCCACAGGTCCCGGGCTCGATTCCTGTCGCTATCAAATTTTCTGAGAAGTAGTGGGTCTGGAACAGAGTCCACTCAGACTCGTGAGGATAATTGAGGAGCCATTTCAAGGAAATAGCAGCTCCGGTCTAAAAAACCGAAATTAACGGCCATAGGGATTCATTGCACTGACCACGCAAAACCTTCTATCTGCTAAAGTTGGCACTAACTTCGCAAAAAAGTGGCGGTCACTCGGTTGGTATAGTTGTTCACTTGCAGACTAAAACCAGAGTTTTTTAATGGACAACTTACGAGGGCTATTCAGAAAGGAGCCTCATATGAGTTGTTAACAAAACAACAAAATATATTATATACAAAAAATACATACATATTTAAGCTACTTCTCAACATAGTTACCACCAGAATTGAGGCACTTTTCATATCATGGAATAAGTTTTTGTATGCCTGCGTCAAAGAAGTTTGCCTGTGACCTAAGCTATGTTTGACACCTTCCATCAACTCCTTATTATTGTTGAAGAGCTGTGACTGCAACCAGTTCTTCAGGTATTGTAGATAAACAGTGGCAGTCACCTGCAGCAAGATTGTGGCTGTAAGAAGGGTGGTGAAACAGCTTCCAGTTGCAATGCTCCTGTAGTGCAAAAGTGCAAGCAGCTGTACAGCTGTGGACACACACAGTAATGAAGAAGCACTACACCAGATGTCAGCATTCCACACCTTTTTTTCCTGAATGGCTCTACACAGTTCTTTTGGTGTTTTGCAATTCATTTCTGGTGTCATTGCAGCCCCTGGTTGCATGAATTCAACCATCACCACTTCTTTCTTGTCCCAGAAAACAGTAGCCATCAGATTTCTGGCAGATGCCTGTTTAAACTTTCTGAGCTTCTTTGGTAAACGTGTGTGCATCCGCTGCTTTGATTGCTTTTTGGTTTCAACATTCAGAAATGATGCCCAGGTTTCATCACCTGTTACTTGTACGATTTGACTGAGAAATTCATCGCCATCTTTGTAGTATTGCTCTAAAAAGTCAAATAGGAAGCCATTCTTTGCATTTCGTGCACACCTGTATGCATTTTTGAAATCCATCTTGCACAAAACTTGTGATCACAGCCTAGCCCATCTGTGATAATCTCAGTACAGAACAGCGTGTGACATTTGTGGAAATCCACACAAAAGTTCTGAAATTGTGAAGCATCATCTTTCTCAAATTTTTTGGTCAACATTTTGAACAAGATCATCACTCACTACAGATGGCTGGCTGACCACTTCGCTCTTAGTCATGAACATTTGTTCACCCATCTTTGAACATTCTATACCATTGTCTTACAGTTCCTTCACTCATTATATTTTGGCTGTAAACGATGTATAATTCATGATGAATTTCTGCAGCACTCATGTTTTTAGCACGAAGAAAATCAATAACAGTGCGGACTTCACAGCTGGCATGATGAGCAATCGCAGGACACATAACTCACTTTACAGAGACAAGAACAAACACTATGTGACCAGTTATGTGTTGGTTTACAAGGGAAGAGTCATGCAACAATATCTTGTATGCACAAGCTCTCCCATCTTCCTTCAGTAGTTGCCTAAAATAAATGGAGGTTACTTTCTCAATAACCCTTGTATTTGGGCTTTCATAATGCAATTACAGAGTGTCCACAAAATGTGTTGTTTGAAAGTGCTATACTTTCATGACCATAATAAATGTATTAGTAAAATTTCATGAGTGCACCTCTTGTAACATTGACAGATACTGAAACAACATTCCATCTCATCCTAAACACCTTTCTTCTTATGAGAGCACCATAACTCAGAAATTTTTCACAATTGAAAGAAGAGAAATAATAATTTTTCCAACATGGTCCATACACTCTTTTAACAAGTTCATTTGAACTGCTCTGCATGAGAGGGTATCAGATGGGGAGAAGCAGCCCAGTTTTATTGCTTCTCATATTTAATATTCCTTGACTTTCTTCCTTAGAGGTACATAAAAATTGTAGTTTATAAAACTGTTGATCAATCAGACTCAAATATTAAAACATGGACCTATGAGAGCTACTGAAATCATATGAGAAATGTTTGAATATGTTTGTTGTCTTGATATCTGCTACATTAGAAAAGGAATTGGTGTGAAAATTTACTAGCACAGATTTTATGTGTGTTGTCATTTTTATGTTTTTGTTTCATCCAATTACTTATCATGGTCGCAAAAATATAACCCTATGAAACACCAAATATATTTTGTGACCATTCTGTATTACGAAACAATGAATTAAGTGACCTGTCGTAAACCACAAATTTCCTTAAACCTGTCATGGTTCCTTTCACTCCTTTTTAACCAATTCACATGAGCGAGATTTACAAGGTATGAACTATTCATATAAAACTTACGTCATCTGGTAATTCAGACGTAGCACTGGCAGTACTGGCATTGGACAGACTTCTCTGGTGTTCCTTCTTGGCACCAGATGCATTAGCCCCACCCCTCTGCAAGCGACTCACTTCCATCTCAAGCATCTCATTGTGTTGTTCTAAGGAATTATAATCAGCCAGAAGCTTCTGGTATGCATCACGGTCTTGATCATGTTCTCTTATCAAGAACAGCTTCTCCTCCTCCAGGCGTGCCTTCAGGATCTCTGCAGCAGTAACAAACACGTGCACTTAGCTTACACATGAGGAGGATGAAACTGCACAATGGCCAGTTGCTAAGATCTACAACCAGCAATTTCAGACAATTTTGTAGTCAGTCTTTTTAGAACTGTGTTCAATAAAATTTCTATTACAAAACTGCCTACCTGAAGTGAGCGAAATACATTTTTAGAACTATCCACACCAAATATCAACCGGATCAAATCATTTTAAGGGCAATACATATTTAACCCGTATTCCAAACAAACTTGTTTTGCAAATTCATTTACCTTTTTCCATATGGAATTGTTAACCTATAAACACAATGGTCCTTTTAAGGTGCAGGAGGAAAAGTGAAATGGTGACAAAAAAAGGCCTTCATTTTAGGGGAAACATACATAAAACATGAATTCCATATGAATATGTGTCGTAACTCCATATTCTTTTTTACAGCATTGTTAAGGTATCACTATAACAACCATTTTAATTGGAAGGGGGAGAAGTAGAACTGTGGGAAAAAATTATCTTTTATTCCTGAAATCAATACTGTGTCCAAGGAAATAGCCATTTTCTCTTACTATTCCATTTCCAACCCGATGAAAAAGAGCTTGCTTTCTGTCCTCACTGGCCTGGATCAGGTTTCTTTTCCTTGGGTCTCAGTGACCACCCCTTCCTTCCACCTCCCTATATAATGAAGCCAGTTCCTCAACATACGTACTTCAACCATAAATTGGAGGCATCATGTTCCTCTAGAATGCCAGTATCAACCTACAAGACCATACAACGTCACAACCAAGAAAGAAACTACTAAGTTACCATTTGTCACAGTGTTTCTTCATGTAGCTCCAGTTCTTGGGGTTTAAAGCTTGGTACAATTTAATTTCTCCGTAGTTGAACCCTTCACTGTTCTTCAGAATGTTGCTATAGTTTATAACAAATGGTGGCCTTTACTTTGAACACCTTAGCTTGAAATGAGATATCATCAAATAATTTCATAACACTGACCTCTAGCACAAGAACATCTATAGAAACTATGTTGGGTGAGGGGCCATGAAGAAGTAACAAAGAAAGAACAAACGAGTTAAAGGGAGAAACAAAAGAGAGAGAGAACAACAGCTCAAATTTTTATCAGACATACAACCTCCCATTGCTAGGTGAAAGTTCCACTGAAAGGCAATGAAGTGAACCACAGTTTTCACTCTACAATATGTTCTACAATGCTATGTAATTCTGAAAAGTGTGACTTACCTTCGGCTCCAATTTGGTTGGACTTAATTCTCTCATTCAATTCATCCAGTTCAGCTTTAAGCTTAATGTTTTCGCCATTCATTCTTTCCAGTTCCTCTTTTCGTGCCTTCTCTAAATGCTCCTTCTCATTAACCAGATCAATCTTCTCATCCCGTTCGTGCTCCAGCGATTTCAGGACAGCCTCCAGTTCTTGTTCCTTATTATTCAGTATAAGAGTGATGCGTTTTGTCTCTGCCTCTAGACCCTTAAGAGAGTCAACTTTAATCCGCAGCTCTGCAAGCTCATGCTGCGTAGATTTCATCATATTATTTTCCTTCACCTGCATCAACAGATTACAATACTGTAATTGATAGGCTGTATATTATCTTCAGTGCTGTACAACTGAAACTACTGACACCATTTCACTAATTCAAAAATACAGTATTCCAGTTCTCCAAATACCATAATTGCAGAATTCTAAGTTTAAATAATTCTCAGAAAGTGGACCAATATCAAAACAACCGAGGTCATTTATGTCAGATCTACATAATAAAGTCCAGTTTTCAAATCATCCCTTTCAGATTTCATTTAAGTTTGACAAATTTTGAGACCATATAGAGTGAGTGAAAATGCAAATTTTGGGCAGAAATGATAATAATGCTATAACTCCAGCCCTACTGGCCTTGGTTGATAGCATATGAAATGCAGTAAAATTTCATACTTTCTCTCACTTCTAGAGGGATTAGAAGCTAACTAAATTTTATTGAAATCCAAATGGGTCACACTGTGCAGGGGGGGGGGGTGGGGGGGTGTATGGGGGTAGGGTGTGCATGTGTGGCTGTGTGAAAGAGATAGATAGAGAGAGAGAGTGAGAATGGGTGTGCCTAGGAGGACTGAGGTTGGAAATAAAAAGGGAGAGGATTAAGGGTATCAACCTGAAGACATACATGTTTCTTCTTTAACAGTGTTGCAGATAATAATAAGTAAAACAAATGGAATATCTGCAAATGTCCGGGCATTGTGACACTGCTACCAGAAAACAGTAAGTTCAAATACATGACTCACAAGTTCCTCTATCTTCTGTTGCAATGAAATAATCTTGTTCTCCAAGCCTTTGTTCAGTTTCTTGACATGTTCAACCGACCTAGCCTCCTGCTTCAGTTTCTTGTACAAACGTCTTGCCAGCCATCTTCTCACTACTGATTGTACAAGTATGATGCGATATATCGTTTGTAAGTACTTTCTTCGTGTCAGCCAGCAACGCACATGCTTCTGAATGATAATTGCCTGCAAGCAAACAAAGAAAATATCAATATTTTCTAGCAGATACATTTAATATTTGTAGCATGCTCAGTAATATTTACCCACTGTAAGCACTGTGTTCCTTAACCGTTCCCCTCACAGTACTAACTTTATGAAGCAATGTCCTTTTTGAAGAGCTGAGGCTTGCTCAGCTACTTAATTCCCCACCATCTACAGAACCTGAAGACTCACTACTGTGTCCACACTAGGCCCTACACTAGACCAATTAAAAACATGTCCACAAGCTTCTAACCTATTTATTTAAGATCCAGTTTAATATTATCCTCCTACTTATACCAAGGTCTTCCAAATAGCCGCTTTATTTCATATATTCTAACCAGAACGTTATATGCATTTCTCATCTCCCCCCTTCATACCACATTCCCCCATTTTTTATTTTAACACACCAGTAACATTTAATGAAGCATACTAATTATGAAGCTCATGCAATTTTTCATGCCTTACTATTATTTCCTTCTCTTAGGTTCATATATTTTCATCTGCTCTTTTTTCTGTTTGTTCTTCCATTAGAAGCATGGAACAAAGTTTCAACAAATGAAATTATAGTTTTCTGTGAGTATATTTTAATCTTCACATTTTTTGTTAGCACATAAGTAGACAAAGGATTCTGTGAATGGTAGCATGCATTTTCTGAATTTAAACTGCTCTTAACTACTTTCTAAACATATATCTGACAATACAGAAAAATTATTAATGTGCTTCAAATTGTACATCCAGACTTTGTAACTCAATAATGCACTTTACCTCCATACAGCTAGCACACTGAAGTTATTTTATTTCTTAGAGAAACCTAATTCCATGCAGCAGAATTCTTGAGAAACTAAGAGTTGATCAGCTGGTCAAGAAATTCTGCATCTTTTATGTACCTTACAGTTTCATTAATGAATTTACAAGAAACCAATAACTATTCTGAGTATTATGGAAACCTACTGAGTGAAATTCTTACTTCAGGTTTCTATACTGGACAAAATATTTGAACACCAAACTGAGAAAAACATTAAATGGTAACAAATTGAGGTAGATAAAGAGGCTAGGACTATAGAAACTGCTTCCTCAGCCTGGTGGCCATCTTCTGATGTCAAGCTTACTGTTATTCCATTCCAAAATTTTTCATTGATGTCATCTTTCATATACAAAATGAAATGAGAGAAATAAAAGAGATTACTTATTTTCTTAACATCCCAATAAATAATATGGATATGTGAATTATGTGTTAATATACAAAATTACAAAACCAACTGTTGTCTTACCACAAAAGACTTTCAATTACACACTCCTGAATAAGATCAAGAGTACAATAAAGTAAAAAAACATCATTGATTTATACAGAAAATTTCAGATGTCTGAAACAATGCTGCCAATGTTCAGTTACTTACCAAATGTTAAGATATTTCAATACCAAATATCTCTCAGACCCTTAAACTGACTGTATTTCTCACATTACTACTGTAATTTCAATGAGACATACCTTATGGTTATATCGCAACTGTTGGTAACGTCTTCTTGCCAGTAATCCACGTGCTCGAGCTTGCAGACCCAATACACACAGCTTAATTCTCCCAAACTGAGTCCTCTTAAGCCAGCCTCGTATATGTCGTTGTATAGTTGTTGCAGCCTTGTTACGACGGATGTGATAGACTTGTCTGAAGATACACAAGAAAAAAAAGATCATCTACATCTAATTCCAATATAATACAACAGCAAATTTACAGTATTATTTAGAAAACAGATATCACATTTGTGGAAAATTTATGTTTATCTGGTTCCACAGTATTAACTTTAAGCAACAAAGAAAATTCTGGAGACGTAAGATTTCTTTTTACCTCACTCTTTGCTTCTTTTGCACCAATACAGGAAGCAAGGTCAGTATATAACATATGAACATAAATTAAAACTGACATAAATTTAATATGAAGATCGCTTCCTTCTGTAATGTCGCACTGTGTTGTCTGACAGATGCTTAACAACATTTTGGAGGACGGTGTTGTCTCCATCTTCAGGCAGAGAAGTCCCTGAACATGGACACAGCATGTTCCTCTAAAACATCTGTAAACATTGACCAGGTAACACAGCGTCACATACCGTAAGACATTACTCATAGTCACTGCTGTGAGACGCTGATATATTTAACAAGAGCTACCATACTAATTTCAACAAGGAATACCTACTAAACTTTGTGAAAACTGATCCCATGGTTTAAAAGTTGAAGGGCCATATGCACAACACGCTGACCTCATATGGCTACTTTTATACTTAAGGATGGGAAGTAAACTAATAATACTTTCAGCCTAACAGGAAACTTTTTTATACACACTGAGTGAAGAAAGGCATTTAGTTCACACTTTATACACAAGCTTACTTGCACTATAAAGTTTAGATACATTAAAATTTAGGCTAGAATACAACAACTTTGTGGTCAGGTCAGATTCTTGATAAAGAAAAGAAAAAATATAAGGCCTTTATCAGACATACCTCCTAGCAATGAAACCCCTTGCATAACGCTGAATGCATCGAGTGGCTTTTATTTTACGCAGGTACTTCTTGTGACATATGAATGCTCGAATTTGCTTCTGAATGATAATGCAACACTGACGAAGTTTGTCAGCACGGAGTTTCTCCAGATACGCAACTTGACCAGCCCGGAAAAATATTTTTGTTTTTCCAAATTGGTACTTGTCATCATCCTGCAAAAAAATCTGTTTTAAGTACAATAACACAAATCAGGAATGAGGAATTATGATTCATCATTTTATCAAACAAAAAAAAAACAAAGATTAAAAATTTAGTTCTAAAGCCCTGTGACTTCAGGTATCCTGCCTTGTATTGGCAAAAATGGAATTAAATACATTTCATCATACCCATTCAAGAAACTAATGCATTGGTCAAATGTTACAGCAAGGAACATGTTATATGTTCTAGCTGGAACTCATGAATTTGCATATATTTTCAGTCTGACAGGCAGAAGAATACAGCTCTAAATATCAGGCTTAGGCAGAGAGCACAAGAAATTCTGTACTTCAGTCATTCCTTATCCCCCCCAAGGCAGTTGGTTACCACTACAATGTATATCATAGAATTTTAACTACAACAGACAAGCATGTATAACTTTACACAATCAAGTGGTTATTACCTGAAGCCACTGCACACCATGTACTGATCAGATTGACTCAGGGTTAATGCATTAAAGTAAAAAAAAGCCAAAGATATTCATATGTTAATAGTTTTGTACAACAAGTACAAGGTCCAGCAGGGAAACCTAATGGTTTCTAAATTAGTATAATGGAGTCAATTTTTATTGCTTTTAGTTATTTTGTCACAATACATATGAATGAATGAATGAATGAATGAATGAATGAATATAGAAGGGGTGGGCCTTCTTTGCCCTTGCACCATGACCACAGTGATCTATTGTGCCTCCCCTTCTGATTATCCTCTCAACAATCCTGCGCTTCGAATGAAGTGTAGGATTTTGTACATGGGGACGTCGAAATAGTCACTTGGTTCCGTAAAATACTGACCCAAGTGGCGCAATCTTAAATAAGCTAAGGCCTCACATTCGCACAGGATATGTGCGTAGCTGGTTCCTGTTTAACTTCAACAGTTCCTTCACTCTTTTAGTAGTGTCCTCGTATGAGTCCCTTTGCTTGCCTGAGTCCAGTCAAGGACCCCCAGTATTTCTTGTGATTCATATTTGTCCAGTCCCTGATTGCCTGTCTGGCAACTCCTATAGAGATGCCACAGGCTGGTTCAGGTCATATGAATGGATGTTTAGTTCCAATCTTGGCCAACTGGTCTGCTATTTTGTATCATAATACATAACAATGTATGCCCTTTTATGTGTATAAATGCCAACTCATTTTGTCTTGAAAATTATGTCCTCGAGATCCTTATCATCTCTTCATATGCATTCTTGCATCCTCATCTTGAGGGTGTTCACTGAGCGCCCTACCATGTTAGGGGGTATTGCCATTATTTCATTGAATTCATGTTCAGTTGCAACTTTCAGTTCATAAACTGTGTGTGGTATATTGATGAATACCTTTGCTTTGAGGTGACACCAAAAGAAATAATTGCATACACTCAAGTCTGGTGATTGAGCAGGTTATGGAAGATCACCGTGCTGAGAAATGACACGCCAAGGAAACATTTCTTGCACAACTGCCATGGAAACTCTCGCAATATGAGCAGTGGCCCCTTCTTGTTGAAACCACATGGTTTGTTGATTAATTCAACATCTGTTAATTTCTGGCGTGAGGAAATTATGCAGTACATGAACATAGCAACGGCGGTTTACAATCACAGCAAGCTTGTCCTCAAAGAATTAGAATTACACAGGCCAACAGCTGTTTTGGTGCCAGGGTATTTGGAGCTGATTTCATATGAATTTGATGCCCTGAATTCAAATATGGCATTAGTTTTTGCCTAGGAGCTCAAATTTTTAAGATATAACATTTTGGTGAAATATACGTTACACTATTTTAAGTTAAATCAGTGGATCAAATAAAAAAACTCAACATGGAATTTTTATTACTATATTATAATTATATTTTTATTTTATTATATTAAATACAAAGATAGAGGAAAAAATCATCGACTATATATAACAGTCAAACCAACTATAGTCACGGAACACTACGGAAGCTTCTTTTTCGTGACTTTCTTGAATGTATTTTAGAACAGTCCCTTTTTAAACTCCAGCAGTAATCTGCCATCATGTGTGTATCCCATCTTCCTTGGTAGCGGTCCTCCATAGTTTTAATATCCTGGTGAAATCTTTCACCTTGTTCCTCACTGGTGTCTCCTAAATTTTCAGGAAAACTATCTAAGTGACTGTGTAAATAGTGCACCTTAATGCTCATGTTACAGCCAAGGGATTTGAAACTGTTAAGCATCTCGTTTACCAGTTCAACATAGTTTTCAGCTTTGTGTTTGCCCAGAAAATTTTCGACAACTGCAACAAATGAAGTCCAGGCTTTTCGCTCAGCCTCGTTCATCGAATTTGCGAAGGCAGGATCCTTAATGAGTTGTCTTATTTGTGGGCCGTCAAATATTCCTGCTTCAATTTTTTCCGTACTCAACTGAGGCATTTTCATTTCTATATATGCAAAGCATGATCCGTTCTTATCAAGGGCCTTTACAAACTGCTTCATAAGGCCCAACTTGATATGCAGTGGAGGAAAGATGATTTTCTCTCGTCTAACTAAGGGATCGTTAATGATATTCTTCTCCCCAACGTACATGTTTTCTCTCTTGGGCCATTCTTTTCTAACCCAGTGGTGTGTTTTGTCTCTGCTATCCCAGAGGCACAAAAAGCAGGGATATTTGGTGTAACCACTTTGCTGTCCAAGGAGAAAATTTACCATTTTTAAGTCCACACAAATCACCCATTGATGTTCATGATACTTTATCTTCTCTAAGACCAAAGCTATGGTGTTATATTCTTCTTTCATTTTCGTGGAGTGAGCAATTGGTATTGAACCATATTTGTTTCCATTGTGTAGAAGGACACATTTCAAACTTCGCTTTGAGCTGTCAATAAATAGGCGCCAATCATCGGGAAAATATTCAGGAAGAGCCATTTTTTCCAAGAGTCCTCTAATTTCGTGACAATATACAAGATTGTAATCTTGAGAGAAGAAGGGTAGCAGATCCGTTTCTCTTGTGCGGTAAAAGGAAATTTTGGTTTCTTGTTCCAGTAAATTTTTGTCGTTCAACCTAGAAGCCAGTAATTCAGAAGCTTCTTTTGACAGGTTGAGATCTCTGATGAGGTCATTTAACTCATCCTGGTTAAAACGTTGAGGGATTGACGACATCCCTTCATAATCACTGTCACCTTCATTACAATCAGAAGGGTGATTAGAGGGAAAATACTCATCCTCACAGAGCTCTGGTAGCTGGTGAAACGTTGGGATCGGTACTTCCTCTGAGTGAGGAACTGGGCGTCTTGCAGAGGCTAAATCAGGATAAGTCCACTTGCTACGGTTGTTTCGATTGATTCCAGTAATATTTACTAGGCAGAAATAACAGTCATCGAAGTGGTTCTTGGGTTCTCTCCAAACCATCGGTACGCCGAATTTCAGACTTTTTCTTTTCCCGGTAGTCCACTGTCGTAAATGTTCTGTACAAGTTTTACAGACCTGATGCGGTGCCCAGGTTTTATCCTGATCACCAAGCCTAACACCAAAGTATACAAAATAAGCTTTCTTTACAAAGTCACTAACAGTTTTTCTGTTTTCTTTTAACGTGTATTCTCCACATATGTAACAAAACACATCAGGTTGATTTATACAACTTCTTCTTCTTGAACTCATTTTATTTCAATTCAGGAACACAAACACAACAATCTTCAACACAGTACGTTTTAGGTTAAATTTATAACAACTCTTTTACTTTTATAAACAAATATCACCCGAGGCCAACTTCGATGTACCCTGCACGGCGAGAACATATAAACTAACCTCAACTCTAGTGGAAGCGTTCAAGTTCACTTCACACCGGACAGACAATGCCATCTAGTGGATTTTGGGGGAACTCAGTGGACAGCAGACTGACAATAGGGCAAATATACAGGAACCAATCCTTGCATATGAGATTTAGAACTGCACAAAATACAATTAGAACTGCACATTTTGTGTAGAACTGCACGTTACAAAAACGCTGATCTAAAAAAGTAGAGCTGGTAGAGAAAACTGATTTTATATTTAGATTCAGCGCCTTAAATATAACTAAAATTAGTTCTAAAATCCTAGACACCAAAAAAAAATTTTTTTTTGTAGGCCTGTGTTATGGGCCTATCACACCAAAGCTTCCTACACAGCACCAGACTGTCACACACTCAGAGTGAAGAGTGTGTTCATGAAGCTGCCATGGATTTGCATCTGACCAATAACAGAAGTTCTGTTTGTTAACACACCCAGATAAGTGGAAGTGTGCCTTGTTATTCATGCCAATGGCTGCATTATCAGACACAATTTCAAGCATGTTTCATGCAAAAGGAATGCAGTTTGCCCAATCATGTTCATTCAACTCTTACACAACCATCAACGTGTATGGATGAAAATGCAAATCGAGGTGCAACATTCGTCTCGCACTCCAGACTGAAATGCCTAATGCAATGCCATGCTTTGCTGCAAAATGACAGGGACTAGTCACTACCTGACTAAGAGTCTCAACATTCTCAGGTGTTCGGACATTTCGTGCACCTCTAGACGGTTTCTTTAGGGCTGAGTCAGTCAATTTGAAGTTTAACCTTTAACGACCGAAAGTCCGGTATACCGGACGGTACCTGTGACCTCGAAGATGCCGAAAGTCCAGTATACTGGACACAAGACACATGCTCACTTTAGAAGTGCTGCCGGTTAGACGTTGAGTTTGAAACCAAAACAAACACACGCAAGTTCAAGTCAGAGGTCCAATTGTTGGCTCTGAACAATAAAACCCTTCATCATGGCACTGGGTTCGATTTCGTTTACATGTAGGTAAGACTGTTTGTGACTTGGTCAGCCAAACAGAGTGGAAGCTTCTTCACAGAACAGCTGACCCAACATTCCTCTGTGCGGGCAGATCACTGCTTCTGTAGCTCTCAAGGAAGTGTGACGTGTTTAGTGAGTGTCTGAATTATCAGCTTGTGAGTCAGTGGCGGACTGTTTCTCTGGGGAAGCCAAGATTTTTCATTGAGTCATCTGGAACTGAACATTGACAACACTGTCCGGCCAGCCAGATAGAAACAATAACTTCCTGTTTGTTCGCTAAGCGAGAGACTGAACCAGATTGTCTACCAGCGTATGAGAAGTGAGGTCTGTGAGACCTTCACATCGCGGTGAAGCAAACTCTGCCTCTCCGCGCTCCCGCACGCAGTATCTATAGTAGCGTAAACTTACACGACGCAACGAGTTCAAACTCGTGTACAGTCTGACCAAACATTTTGGTGTATAGTGTCAATGTATTTTGGATATAACGACGTCTCAAATTTGGAGGAAAAATTATGGGTAAGTCTTTTGGAATTTCATTACAAATATAAAAGAGAGTATATTTTGAATTTCATGACATAACGATCACAGTTAATTTTTATTTGTAAAAATTGCCTTGGGTATATTGTAGGAAATTTCATTCTCTTTCAGGCGGTTTTTAGTTCGTAATTCTAAGCTGCATAGAACGGAAAATATGTAGTTTTTTCTGAAAGTCTATAATATTAAAAGGGCAACGTCAAATTAACTCCGGCAGCAGCGCAGTCGTGGGGGGTTTAAATGCCGACTCTTAAAGGTTAAAATCCAAAACAAAATCATGTTCTTACTGGGAACTTTACTGTGACGACCCACATTAAAGTGCACATGGAAACATCACTGAGTCAGGGTAACAGTCACCAGTTTTAAAAAAACATCTTGACAAAAGCACAGTGTTCCACGGTCCACTGTTCCATGTCTACTGATATGGCGTACTTTGAGCTGCTGAAAGTTCATGAGCTCTCTCTTCCCATACTACAATTGGCCAAGCTAGTACCAACTTAAAAACGTCAGGTTTCCCTGCTGGACCCTGTATATCAATAAATGGCATCAGGTGTGACACACCAGTTTTTAAAAGGAAAGAACAAGATTTTATAGGAAATATTTCTTGTTCCATCTGAAAGTAATTTCAGTAAAGTATTTAGGTTTCTTCTATGCAACTTAATTTACCATCAAGCAGCCCCGATGCTTCTGTCAGGAAGTTCTATGGCAGGCCTTGGCAGTCAAAGGCTTAACCAATTGAAGCTTCATTCATACATGAGTTAGTCTGAATACAACAAGGGTCAGTACATGCAAAGAGCGAGGTATGCAGCAACATATCTCATGAGTGGAACTGTCCAGGGCCAGTAAGAGTGTTCAGAGTGACAACATTGTCTCCACATCACATTTAGCAAATCTTTATGACAATATACAGGGGCTGTCTACACAACGATTTTCTTAATAAAAATAAAACTAGACAAAATTAAATTAATACTGACTTACTTACTTACTTATGGAGCTGAGCCCTTCTTGAGAAGCCACCAAATCAGCAGCTACTCAAGAACTTCCCAGCATTTTATGGAACCCGAAGGTTCATTACTGTATTCACAAGACCCCTCCACTGGTCTCTATTCTGAGCCAGATCAATCCAATCCATACCATCCCATCCTATCTCTCTAAGATCCACTTTAATAATGTCCACCCACCTACGCCTTGGTCTTCCCAGTGGTCTCTTTCCTTCTGGCTTTCCCAAGAATATCCTATATACATTCCTCTCCTCCCCCATTCATGCTACATGCCCTGCCCACTTCATCCTCCTTTACTTGATCATTCTAATAATACTTGGAGAAGAGTGCAAGTTATGAAGCTACTCATTATGCAGTTTTCTCCACTCTCCTGTCACTTGATCTCTCTTCGGTCCAAATGTTCTCCTCAACACCATGGTCTCAAACACCCTCAGTCTATGTTATACTATTAATACTGACACAATTATTAATTTTATTTTGTCTAATTTTATTTGTACAGTTGTGAAAATTGTTGTACAGGCAACCACCAACTATCACAAGATTTAGCAAAATCCTAGTTTAATAGAACCCTAAGGATGAAAAAGACCCACTATATGACCCTATCTAAGATGAGCTCAATTCACACCAAATTTCACAACACCCACTTCAATATGCTACGTGTTCTGTACTGACCTTGATGATGTTACCCAAAATCTTTTCACAGGTGGCTCTCATGTTATTCCGCTGTATGTCCTTATATTTACATAAAACACGATACCGATGGAAGAAATCTGCATATGTCCATCTGAAATTCACAGTGAAACTATGTGTCAGCACAGGGCATTTATGTCTGTATCTTGCCCAGCTCTTGTTACTACTAGATGACATAACAAGAGTTGCTTCCTAACAGATAAATGGGTTTTAACTGAACGTTCAAGACATGGATACGTGTACATGATAAAATTCAATCTTGAATCCAGGCACATCCCTAAATGAAATGGCATATTCCAGTCTTTACCCACATTATACAAATGCATCATTCAATAAAGTTTTATCCGATGACAAGCTTTTATTCACATATTTTTTAAACATTTTTAAAAATACTTCAAATATTTTTAATATTCCATAATATATTCTACTTACTTACTCATGGAGCTGAGCACTTCTTGGGGAGCCGCCAATTCTGCAGCTACTCAAGAATTTCCCAGCATTTTATGGAAACCGAAGGTTCATCACCCTGTTCACAAGAGCCCTCCACTGGTCCCTATTCTGAGCCAGATCTATCCAATCCATACCATCCTATCTCTCTAAAATCCATTCTAATATTGTTCACCCACCTACGCCTTGGTCTTCCCTGTGGTCTCTTTCCTTCTGGCTTTCCCACCAATATCCTATACACATTCGTCTCCCCATTCGTGCTACATGACCTGCCCACCTCATCCTCCTTGACTTGATCATTCTAATTATACTTGGAGAAGAGCACAAGTTATGAAGCTCCTCATTATGCAGTTTTCTCCAACCTCCTGTGACTTAATCTCTCTTCGGTCCAAATATTCTCCTCAACACCCTGTTCTCGAATACCCTCAGTCTATGTTCCTCCCTTAAATTCAAAGACCCAGTTTCACACCCATACAGAAGTACAGGCAAAATTATAGTTTTGTATATTCTAATTATAATATTGTGACATGTTGCGCAATGGAGGACAAACCCTCCCTCCCCCAGTAGACGTGGCAGCTCTGGCCACGGTGACGTAGCCCCCCTGGGCTACATGGCACTGCTTCCTACTGTGACGAGGCACGCAACGCGCGGTGACATAACACGGCATGAGGCAACAGTGGTACCGATCACGTAACAGGCAAGCGCTGCGACTATATAAGGGAACTACACAGCCGCCGCAGTGAGTTAAAAGTGTATCAGCCGCCGAAGTGAGTTCTCCAGTCAGCAGTGAACAAGTCAAAAGCGTATCAGCCGCCGAAGTGAGTTCTCAAGTCGGCAGCCTACGAGTTAAGTTGGAATCTAGCCAGCAGTGAGTTGGAATCTAGCCAGCAGTGAGCAGTAAGGGGTAAATTGAATTGTAGTAGTCGCCGATTTCAGTTGTAACGAGTGGATCGTGACAGAGTGAATTGATTTGTGTGTAGGGTTTGTAAATTGTGTAAACCCGTAATACTGTTGTAATTAATTGTAGCCGATACTTGTAGGTTGTTAAATAAACCAAGTAACAATCCGAACGTCGTCTTCAGTAACGAAACACGTTACACTTGTGTCAGAAGTGGGATTGGACTTACACACATTGCCCACAGGATTCGAAATCAAGACACGTTACACTGGTGTCAGAATTGTCTACAAATTTAAACACGCCACAATTTGAACTGAAGACTGAAGTGTGTGTTTACAGCGTTGCCATACGAAAATGGAACAACTATTTGAAATGCTGAAAGAGATGAAGGCCGATAGGAAGGCTGACAAGGAAGAAATGCTGAAAGAGATGAGGGCAAACCAAGTAAGAGCAGATGCTGACCGAGTGCACATGCAAGAAATGTTCCGAACCCATTAAGACAGAATGGACGCCAACATGAAATCCAACCAAGAAAAGGCGGAAGCAAATAGAAAAAAAGACAGAGAAGATTTCCTGGCAAAATTAGACGTCAACCAAAAACAAACCGACGTCATGCTGACAAAATTAGATGCCTATCAAGAAAAGGCAACGGTTGATAGGAAGGCCGACAAGAAATGAAGGCGGAAATGCAATCTATGCGGTCAGAGTTGGACGAGTCAATCCAAAGTAAAATTGAAGCGATCAGAGCAAAGTTGGCGAGAAAAGACTCCCGCGGAGACGAGAGCAACCCAAGCAAGGACAGCACAACAAGAAGAGGTCCCCTTAGTAATACCGGTCAGAGTGACGATGGCCTGCCGAGAAATGGAGGCACACCCAGAAGAAAAAGAGCCGGTCTCAGTGAACATGAAACCTGAGGTGGCAGAACTACGAGAGGTACCCGTAGAAGACGCCAAAGTAATACCGGTCGGAGAACCGAAGAAGAAAAGGCATAGGGACCAAAAGAAGCGGAATATGAAGAATTCGACACAGGATAATTGTGGACCCCAGAAAAAGTTGGCCGTAGCCCGCAGAGGGACGAGCCGTCGCGTGGAAGTGGCACGGCAAAAGAAAACCGGCAGGAAGGTGTACCGCCATGTAACAGTGGCATGGCGTCGGAGGAACATCTTCAATAAATCTTGGACCCGAGAAGATTATGTATCGTTGATGAAGTTGGCTGCCACCTGTACGAAGATATCCCATCGCGCGACAGTGGCACGACATTGGAGAAATGACTTCAAGAAGGAAACTCCCCAGGGAACCTTTGGACACTGGAGAAAGGACTTGGTGCCACAGTCTTGTACCAGCAAGCGGCTGGAATACCATGAGAAACAACAACGTCAGCAAGTGCAAACAACACCTCAAGTGCTGTTACGTCGACCTGAGGAACTTCCGAAGAAAGACATGATCAAGAATTGGATCTTGTGGAGGGGTCGACCCCCTCCGAAACGAAAAAGAAGAAGAGCACAGAAGAGGAGCCGGTAACGTAGAAGTACCAGCCACCCGAGCAAGTATGAAAGTGATACAACTGGATCTTCGGGCACGTAGCAGGAACCCGCTCGAAACGAGCTGGTCTTAAGAAGGGAGCGGTTGTAACGGCTGGAAAATAGTCGCTGCGAGGAGTGGCCGAAACAGGAGACGCAGAAAGCACAGCCTTAAGAAGGGAGCAGTGTGACGTTGCGCAATGGAAGACAAACCCTCCCTCCCCCAGCAGTGACGTGGCAGCTCTGGCCACAGTGATGTAGCCCCCCTGGGCTACGTGGCACTGCTTCTTAATGTGACGAGGCACGCAACACGTGGTGACATAACAAGGCATGAGGCAACAGCGGTACCGATTACGTAACAGGCAAGCGCTGCGACTATATAAGGGAACTAAGCGGCCTCCGTAGTCTAAAGGTAACGTTCCCACCTCATGACTCATAGTATGCGGGTTCAAATACCCAGCGGAGGTCGTTGAATTTTTAAGGGCGGAAAAATTCAGGGAACAAGTCCTCCGGGAGGGAGTTTAAGCCGTGGGTCCCGTGTTGTAACTTTAAGGCACATAAAAGAACGTCATACCTCCAAAGGAGGTCACTGAGCCAAAATTGCGGATGTTTCCCGCCCAGCAGCAGTCACTAATACCTCCAGTAGATGGGGGAAGCATTATAGATACTTCTCAGCCAGTAGAGCCGGTCTCACTGGCTGGGCGGGACTGATGGTAAGCACCAATACCGGTAGGATATAGAGACTGGTAGAAATCATAGAGGGAAGCACAATGGACCACTACAGGTCTAAGTGCATGGGGAAACCCAAACTCTCTAATAACTAACTAACTAACTATATAAGGGAACTACACAGCCGCCGCAGTGAGTTAAAAGTGTATAAGCCGCCGAAGTGAGTTCTCAAGTCAGCAGCCTACGAGTTAAGTTGGAATCTAGCCAGCAGTGAGCAGTAAGGGGTAAATTGAATTGTAGTAGTTGCCGATTTCAGTTGTAATGAGTAGATCGTGACAGAGTGAATTGATTTGTGTGTAGGGTTTGTAAATTGAGTAAACCCGTAACATTGTTGTAATTAATTGTAGCCAATACTTGTAGGTTGTTAAATAAACCAATTAACAATCCGAACGGCGTCTTCAGTAACAAAACACGTTACAATATATTCAACACATTATAAATCTTTATATATGATATACTCTTTATATTTTCTCTTTTATCTTATTTTGTACCTTCTACTTTAATTGTAACACCAACTTGAGGCAAAAAGTTTATGTTAGTACAGAATACAACACATTGCACTGGTATGGATCCATAACAGTAGTTCAATGGCAAAAAGGTATGAGTATTCCTATATATAACCGCCTGATGATGGTCTTATACAACTGAAACATATAGCAGGAATAAAAGTAGAATTGTAAAACATTAAAATCGAGTATATTTGTTGTGTTGACGGTTAACATAATTCCTATATACAAGGTGGTTCAAATATGACCAGGACTGATTTGTGTGTAAAGATGCCACACTGCGCAGCAGCTGTGCGACCTTGAGAGAGTGAAGCCACAACCTCCACCCTCCCTCCTGTTAGGGTTAGAACCTCCCTCTTCAGTCCTGTCTGGGAGTTGCTAGAGTGATGAGCGAACAGAAGGTACCACGGAACAACACATTGTGATCAAATTCCTCGTTGGAGAAAACGTCCCGTCCACTGAAATTCACCACAGACTCCAACAACAATATGGGGAAGAGTGTCTCTCATGGACCCATGTGTTTGAGTAGTATAAGTGCTTCAGAGAGGGCAGAGCGCACGTGGAGAATGAACCGCATGATCGTCGGCCGTGAACATCCATCACCGAGCCAAACATTGATCGTGCAGACGCGCTTATTTGTGAGAAAAGGCGCATCACTATCAAGGAACTTGGAGCAATGCTGTTCATCAATGTTGGTAGTGTAGAAGACATCGTGAAATACCACCTGCACTATCGCAAGGTGATTGCATGGTGGGTACCACACACTTTGACACACGTGAACAAAATGGTGCACATGCAAGCTGCCAGTCATCTCCTACAGCAGTTTGAAGATGAAGATGATGCATTTTTGAAGTCTATAGTGACCACCAATGAAACATGGGTGCACTACTTCATTCCCGAGTCCCAGCAGTCATCATGCGAGTGGCAGCATACCAGTTCTCCCAAACCCAAGAAAGCGCGGAGGAGCCGTTCAGCAGGAAAAGTGATGGCAACGTTCTTCTGGGACTGGTAGGGGGTTATCCATGTAGACTTTCTGACAGATGCCAGAACAGTCAATGCAGCTTATTACTCAGACCTCCTGGCAACAGGTGAAGGAAAAGATCCAATCCAAGTGGAAGACACGTGGAAAGCGGGTAGCCTTCCTTCAAGACAATGCACACCCCTATACAGCCAAAAAGACAATGGAAACCCTCCGGAAACTGAAATGGAACCTTCTGACACATCCGCCGTACAGTCCCGATTTGGCCCCAAGTGATTTCTATCTGTTCAGAAGGCCCAAATCAGACTTGGTCTCTTGCAAGGCATGCGGTTTGTGGACAACACCACCGTAATGCAGACTGTTTGGGAGTGGATACGCCTCCAACCACAAGCCTTTTTTGAAAAGGGCATCAGGATGCTTCCAGAATGTTAAAAAAAATGTGTTGACTCCGGAGGGGAGTATGTTGAAGACTGACGTACGCAAGTAAGTGTTTGGTAATTATGTTTTTTTTTTAAAAAAAATCAGCCCCGGTCATATTTGAACCACCTNCCAATGGCAGTAATGTTGAGCTTGTAAATTGTGTGATTGTAAGAGCGAATGTGAAATAAAATTTGCTATATCCAGTAAGGCGTGAAGTTATTTGTCGCGTTATACACCCAAGCTGCGACAATATATATTTGAAAAACATGAAAGGAAAGAAGGCATCAGTTGTTCTGCTGGTGATAATTATGGTAACTGATCAGAACAGCTATCATCCATAGTAACAGACCTAACTTTCTAACACTGTCCATGAAGATAAACTTACTATTCATAAAACAAATGTCAGCTAAAATTTCTACTACTCAACCTGTGGATGAAGTTAATTAAAGCTGGTTACAAATTCTTATTGTTTGTCAGAAATGTCACAGAAAACTGGACACAGGCCACTATTTTTTTCAAGAAGTTAATTTTTATCAGTGAATGCTCAATCAAAGCAGCAAAAATAATGAAAAGAAACACAATGTACCTTAGAGAATGCTGCAACCTCATCTAGCACATATATGTACCATTTACCTGGATGGGAAGCCTGCAGCACTGATGCGTATAGTTTCTAAGACACCGCAAGCTCGTAACTGCTGAACGGCTCGCACAGGGTTATACTCAAATGGCACTTTGTTATCATTTGGTTTGATACAGCGAACATAATGTGGTGTGGTGGCATTCAGAGTTGCCATGAGCATGTTAAGTGAGTCTCGAAACTGTGAACCAACCTACAGACAGGAAAACAAGAATTATAAACACTTTGTTGAAGCACTATGCTACATGGTGGAAGGTTACAGGTTTGACTTCCAATGAAGTAACAGGATCTTTCAATTCTCATTTAAATGACATCATTATTTTAAACTGTGTATGCATGTTCAAGTATCTTGCATACAAAAGAATAAAGGATAACACAAAAACTGTGTGTATTACAACATTCTGGCTGTCACTTTTGTGATCTGCAAACCAGATTTACTTGAAAAAATTTTATCAAGAAATTGAGGGGCATCTGTTGTGCTGTTATTATCGCTAATAATCCTGTGATGCTACCAAAGAAGTTCAGCAGGTCAAATTTTGTAAATAAAAGAACAATTCTTACTGTTTTCTTGTGTTGTTTTGATGATGATGAAGGCAATGCTGTTGGTTTTGCAACAGTAACTTTTACTTTGGCTGCTGGAACATTCAGTTTTCTCCCATCGGGCTCATCAGAAAACAATTTCCTCACAAGCTTATTCTGTTGGAGGACAAAATTATAATTAGCAAAGTTTCAATAAATGACTTCGTTTTTAATCTGTACTCATAAAGAAATGTTAAGTAAATTACCTGTCCATTTTTAATAACATTAATTTGATCTTCAAGCACAGTATCCCGATTCTTCTCCAGAAATCCATCGCTCTGATAGGTGACATTGTCTGCAAAATGGTGGATTAGAAATGCAGTTGTACCAAACCTTGGCCTTGAGAAGTGCTTCCATTTTGTACACTTGCTGTACAGTTTTTCTACCCATGATGAATCCGTACCCTTTGGCATCTGGAGAGGAGAGACAACACTTATCAACATATAAGACTGGTCACATAATACAGGAATCTTCTCATGTCTTGGCTCACAGGAATGGAAATATGGACAAGCTTCTCATGGGTAACGGGTTTATAAACAAGTTCTGTACAGAAACAATTCACTTTTAAAAATTCATATTTACTGTCATAGACAATATATTGCCACATGTTAGAGACTAGACATGGGGTTTGGATTGATTACTGAATTCATTGAATGCTTTTGACTCATAACTACAAACAACTATAACACTCTCACTAATCTACACACTCTACAAACAACTATGGCATGCACAAAGTCTTCTCAGTCAGCTATATCTTCACTAGTTGTTGCTTGATAGCAGCTACTAACAGTAGAGATTCTTCTGCTCTGTGCTCACAGCTAACCACTGACTGTCCTGGTGTTTTGGGTAATTTCATAAGGCATGCAATTTCAGGTGAAACAATACTCTCACGTAATATGAACAAACACAAACTATAAACATCAATTCAGCCTCTTTATGATTAAACAGCAACAAACATATATGATCTGATGTTCTCATGGCAGTGAATGTCTTCCGAGATACGATACCACGTAGCCTGGTAGGTGGTAACCAGGGGATGACAAACACTTTCCCAGTAACACCTTCACATTCTTGATTACTGACTTGGCTAACAGTCACAGCATTGACAAGACAGGCAATAACTTGTTACATATTATGTTAAGCTCTGACAAAATTTAAAATTCTTTTTGACTGGGTAGGGAAAAGAAAAATTCTGGAATAAAGCTTACAGACCTAAAATCCAGTGGCAGATCCTTCTAACTGTACCTGTCACTGAACATGAACATTAAACATGTCATACTAACCCTACATTCCTCATCCAACAGATCCAGGATCCCAAGTTTGGTCTCTATCAGATCAATGCATGGCTGGTTGTCATAGAAATCTATGAATTTCCACTCTATTTCTTCTTTCAGATATTCCTCTTGTTCTAGTTTGAACACATGCTAAATAAGGAAAACAAAGAACACACTGATTTCAAGATCATTATCTTAAACTTAACTCTGACACACTAATTATACAGTCGTGCATTCAGCCAGCCCACACGTTCACTTTGGGGCTACCTCTCTCCAACTCACATGTGGCATGTGGATTTTGACGTCTCCAAATCCTGCAGTTGTACCTGTTTACAACTCCACTGACATGGAACGTCGCCTCATCCGAGAAACAGATTTGGTGGGGGAATCGTGTGATGCATCAATTTTTTACAGCACGTCCAAAGCGAACTTTGTGCATGCTACTTGGTCACTTGGTTTTAATGCATGAATCATTTGAAACTTGTACCCTCTTAGGGGGAAGAGCCTTTTCTGTAGCACATCATGCACTGTTGAACTTCGAATTTGTACATAACTGCAAGCTAGCAGCAAGAATTGATTTGTGTGGACTTCATGGGACTGCCTCTCTAGTGCGACTGATGTTTTCTTCAGAGGTCAATGTCCTTCCAGATTTTACATGCAACAGACTACCTGTAACACTCAGTTTGTTGTTCCAGAACCGAATGCTTTTCTGCATAGGAGGTTGAAGTCCATATCGTGTTCTAAAATAACAATGGAGAGCTGTCAGAGATTGCAGCTCTGCTAGCCACAACACACATTGAACCTGTTCCTGTGGTGCTGACATCATTATTGAGCTCGCTGAAGGTCACCAGCTGGTGCATGTGTGTAAGCCAGGCTTGAAAAAAACACTTTCAGTCTTCCTTTCCGATGACAAAAACCGGATACATGTATGACGATTAGTTTCTAAGATACATTTTTTTTTTAATTTTGGATATGTTTCATCTAGACACCCTGTATTACAGAATGACACTGCAGAATCAAGTTGAAACACAGAAATAAAAGGGCTTCATTTCTGATGAAATATATACAAAAACAAACCAAATTTTATCCAGCTTCACTAACATGCTGACTCACCTGGTTAAATTGCTGTTGTAATTTCTCATTAGCATAGTTGATACAAAACTGTTCAAAGCTGTTTATCTCAAACGTTTCAAACCCGTATATGTCAAGCACACCAATGAACCTCTGCGAGGTGCCTGAACTCTCCAGAGCCTTATTCACAACTGTCACGATCCAACTGAACAGTTCAGCATAGATGTGTTTTGCAAGAGCATCCCGAGCACCTACAGCCTAAAACAATAAACACAAAAATTATCTTTAAATTACTATCCAAAGAGGCAAATGATTAACAAGTAAAGGAAACTAGTGTTGCTAGTAAGTGACTGTAACTTCTAAAATTTCAGGATTTTTATCCCTGTCAAACATTAAAGAGAAACAGTTAAACAATCAAATTCCAAAAGGATGAAGCCAAGGAAAAAAGAAGTTTTGCAACATGTCTCAATAGGCCTCTTACTGAGGAGGAGGTGGTGACACTGGTCATCATGGTGGCAGAGCAGTGGTGGCAGTGCTGCTGCTGATGATATATTACTTTTGTATTTAGTATGGCTGTTCTGTAGAAATTTAGAAGTATATTATTATTTATAGTATATCTATATCACCTCTGTAACTGTCATTGGTTTGAAGAACACCTCACGCATGCTGACAATCTTCCTGTGGCACAGCCAGCTCCTCATCTCATTTGCATCCAGACGCAGCAGTTCTGCCAATATCAGCAGATTTTTGTCATTTGCCTGCAATATACATAGTTGTGTTTACAACAAGATGACTCAAGTCAGCAATTCTTACAAAACGATCTATCATCAATAAAGAATAACTGTGCAGATCTGTCTATGGTACTTACCTCACAAAATTGCAATACAAGAAATCTACACACACACCTTGGTGTGCATGAAAGCCAAATACAGTGTATGGTCCATGATAAAGGACACAATCAAGAGTTTAATTACACTCAGAAATGGAGAAGTTCACAACACATAAGGACAACCAGAAGGATGGAAATCCAACAAGATATAATCGCTAACCGCTACAAAGTGCTGTCGAATCTCAAAGGGCCTGAATTCAAAAAGGTAACTCATCAACAAACAAGTGTGAAGGTTAGAAGGAAAAAGGATAATCTTCAAAATCCAAGAAATAAGATTTTATTTCTTGGTGACAGTCATGTAAGAGAATGGCGGCTAAACTATGACATAACCTGGATGTGGAATACAGTGTTCAAGGACTACTGAAACCCGGTGCAGATCTAGCAGCAATTTTAACTTCGGGTGTGAATGATATTGAGGACTTCTCTAAAAAGGACTTGGTGATTGTGTTGGGTGGTACTAAGGATGTTAGCAGGAATGAGCCTGATAAGGGACTGATCCAAATTAGGAACTCTGTAAACAAGAATACTCATACAAATGTTTTAGTTATGAACCTACTGCACAGTCATGATTTGGAGCAAAAATCATGTGTAAATGATGAGGTGAAATGGTTTAACAGAAAGTCAAAAAAAATTTATGAAGGTTTTCGGAAATTCACGTGTTATAGAGGTGGAGTCCGAAAGGGACTTGTTCACTAAATATGGGCTACATATGAATTCAAGAGGTAAGGAGCAGATAGCAAAAATAATAGTAAAAGAAATTTTGGATATGTTGAGGGAGAAAAAGTCTGACCCAATTATAATGAAAGCGAAGGATGTACAAGGGATGGAAGAGGAAGGACAAATGTTCCTGACAAAGGAACCACAAGGACTGGTGAAAGAAAAAATTAAACATATGGAAGAAAAGGGCAGGTAAAGAAGTCAAGAAAAGGGTGAATTATGTGCAAAAAGTGAGGGATGGCAAAATAAAACGGTGCAAGCCTTGGTTCAATCAAAATGACGTTGTAGATTACCTACAAATAGAAGTGAGGATTTTTTATGGGTAGACCTTAACAAGAAATAAAAATAGTGACTACTGAGGTTGACAAGAGACAGGTTTCAACATCAAATTAGTTATTAATATTACACCATAATGTTCAGAGTCTGAGAAATAAGTTACTGGAGTTAATTATTTTACTGAATATGGAGTTTACAGACTTAGATATCCTATGTTCCTCTGAACATTGGCTAAATGATGAACAAATGAGAACATTAAATATTGAATACTATAAATTAGTAAAATATTTTAGTAGAATTAGTAGAAATGGTGGAGGTTCATGTATATGGGCACGTAAGAATTTACAAGCAAGAGACGTAAGTTATTTAAGAAGCATGGGTAGTGAAAATGATTTTGAGGTGGCTGAAGTGGAACTAGTGGATTTTAAGCTAATTTTAGTTTGTATTTATCGATCACCACATAGTGACTTTTATCCATTTTTTAATAAGTTGGAAATAGTGGTTTTTAAAGTGCAAATGAAAGGTATGAAATTAATTCTGTGTGGTGAATGGAATATAAATGTTTTGCAAGATAGTACACAACTTAGTGCATTACTGAATCTTTTAGAAACGTACAACTTGACAAATACAGTTACATCTTCAACAAGGGTCACAAAAAACTTAGTATCATTAATAGATGTTATGATAACAGATAAGGTATACTATAAAAACTTAACGGAGGAGTTAGATTTGGGGTATTCATATCATTTTGCACACATATTACATATAAAGGTAAATAAGACTAAAACAAGATGGGAAAAATTAGAAGAAGACAGTTTTCAGGTAGGAATATAGAAGAATTCAACCATCTACTTGAGATGGAATCCTGGGAATATGTTCTTTTACATGATGAAGTAAATACATCTTATAATACTTTTTGAAAAGATTTTTGTAGTCTTTTGAAAGAGCTTTTCCTTTAAAGACAGTTTATAAGAACTACTGCAATGAGATTAAATGGATTACCCAGGGGATAAAGGTTTAAAGTCAGAAAATGAGACTTTCAAACACTTTACAAATTTTTCAAATGATGTATTAGAATACATTAACAGATAGAAAATCTATAAAAGGGTTATAACAGAAGCTAAAAGAAAAGAAAATGATAGGTTTATGTTAAGTTCACATAACAAAACAAAGGCAATTTGGCAAATAATAAACAAACAAACTGGAAGTTCTCAGCAGGGTGACCATATAACTAGTTTAAAGAATGGAAGTGAGGAAACATCAAATCCACAAAAAATGGCAGACATGTTGAATTCCTTTTTTATTGAAAGTGTTGAAGATCTTTTAGCAAATAATATAAACCATTCTCCAGTACAAACCTCACAACAGAGGATTCAATATCAAATGAACACAATGTTTTGGCACCCTATTACCAAAAATTGAAATAGAGAGGGTAATAAAAAGTCTAAGAGGTAAACCATCTGCAGGCTTTGATGAAATTCCAGAATATTTAGCCAAGAGATGTTCACAATACATAAAGAAACCTTTAGTACATATTTTTAATGCCTCTTTAAAATCAGGGGTGTTTCCAGATAAGATGAAAATAGCTAAAGTAAGACCGCTGTATAAAAAAGGGGAAAGACCAGAAGTTTGTAATTACAGGCCAATATCAGTTTTACCGGTTTTCTCCAAAATACCAGAAAAACTGGTGTATAATAGGTTGACATCCTTTGTAACAAAATATACCATAATAACAGAAGTGCAAAATGGATTTAGAAAAAACAAATCGACAGAAACAGCTTCCCAGACCTTCACTGAGAGTATACAGGAGGCAATGGATAGACAGTTACACGTTACAGGAATATTTTTTGACTTGACAAAGGCATATGATGTAATAGACCACAACGTATTACTAGATACTTTAAATTACTATGGGATCAGAGGGGTTACTAATTTATGGTTTAAATCTTATTTATCTCACCGAGTACAACTTGTTGAAATAAATCACCTGAATAAAAATATTGTGACGTGTCGGGCTAGCTGGACCCCCCCCCGGAGCTAACGCGCCGAGCGAAGCCGAAGTTAGCCGAGTCCCGCAACCTGGTAGCTATGCAACGTGAATCAACAGCGGTGACGTCACCAAGGGATATCGCGGTTGCTAGGCAGTGCGGGTAAACAGTAGTTGCGAGAGACGACGGTAGTCACAGCGGGACCCA